CAATTTTCTGGAACATGTTATTGTGCAGCTCTCCTTAAATTTTACCCATCGAAGAAAGATACAAATTGAAGTTGAGAGCCCTGGAGGAACCAAATCAGTAATACTACGGGCAGGTAATTTGGATAAAAGCTGAAGAGAATGAGATTTGTTTTTTAAGTTTTTTTGCATTCTCTCTTTAGTTATCTAAATTGCTACAAATTTTGATAATTCACATTTTCTATGGACTTGAAGTCTCTAATATCCAAACCTTGTCACGATTTTCCAGGAAGGATGTGGGATCGAAAGCAGGAGATTAGGAACTTGTCAACTATGTCCTTACAGTTCTGGGGAGAAAATCCACGAGGAAGGTGGCGAGTTTGGTTGAGAAATGTCGAGCCAGATCCTAAGCACAATGGTAATTTTTGTATCATTCAACCATTTGCACAATTGTTTATATCTAATATTTGATAATAAATTAGCATTTGTTATCTGAAAGCATTAAGAGAACCTATTGATAACCATTTTTAACACCATTTTTGAAACAATTTCTGTTTTTCGACAACCATTTTACACTCAATTTATTTTCAAGGAACATTGTACGACTGGTCGTTGAAGTTATATGGCACCGTAAGTGACCCATTGTCTGGAAACACAATCGTGGCATCTCAAATCAGAATAAACCAAACAAGTACAGCATCACCACCAACAACAGGTTTGAGTTTTGTATTAGAATCTTTTTGAAGGGTGACATAAATCTTTATGAAGGGTGGCAGCTATAATAGCATTGTTTTCTTACTACCTTCCCTGCTCCCTCCTCACTACGCTGCAAGCTATTATTTAATATTATTTTACTCTAATTAAGAATCTAGCTCCTTTTTTTAGGCTAAATGTAATTTTCAAAAAATTTTAGAACGTCAATCAATTGAAATGGTTCGTTATTTAGGTAACTTTGCTTTTTGTTAACTAAATGATATAGAATTTACTTAGGGATCGCACACAAATCGATTCTTTGACCAGCCCCAACCAAAGTACTCACCCTACCCCAAATATTTTATTGGGTATGAATGAAGATTTATTGGTTGCAAAACAAGTTGTCTGAACTGTAAGCTTACAAAACTCCCTGCGATGCCCTCGTTTTCGTATTTGCTGCGAATAATCGCAGTTCCTAGTCCTGTTGTGTTTTGTTCCTTTATCTGGCCTTGGCTGTTATGCTCTCACTGGCATGGCATTTCTACTTTAGTTGTGAACTGTTCTTTTGTCAGTACAAAGAGATGGTAAAAAGGTCGTACGAAGATATTCATCCGAAAAAGTCAATAGTGATGGATTTTGAAAATCTATTTTCCTTTCACCCCCTACCCAAACGCCCAGTGGGTTCTTCGTGTTAATTTTCAAGAGCTCTGGCTCCGGGCAAGAGCTTTGAGAAAAACAGCGGATGTAATGTCTGGTACATTCTACCGTATTTCCCATGATTTGTTTGATAATTTGAGCAAAGAGTGAGGAATGATAGCAGACCCTCGTACGATCGCCAAAGATAACATAAAAAATACTTGCGGGTTAACTACAAGTACCAGAATGCATTGCATGTGTACTTGTGTATGACGTACGTAGGGAAAAGCTCTATTAGATTGCGATAGAAAAAGAAGCAAACCATGAACTTTGGTAAATAATGGTAGGAGGAGCTCTTTTAGTTAATCGATCGATTTGTGTGCGGCTCTTTTTTCAAAGATAATCGAATGAAACCAAAAGCAAACCCGTTAACTTCAACAGAAAACTCTTCAACATCACATTTTGAGCAAACAACACCAACATCCTTGTTCACAAGGTCGACATCACTCTTAAATTCTACAGATCCTTGCATTAACAAGAACTCCAAACTTTGTGGAAGTGCTTCAAGTAAGCCAAGTAGAGTTTCTTTCTTGAATGTGATGATTATAGTTTACTGTCTTTACTGTCGTTTACTAACCGTCTTTTACGTAATAAAACAAGATGAAAATGTGTTATAATTACATCGAGAAAAAGCTTATTTCTGACAGTTATCCAAATTTCCTGAGTGCATAACCTTAGGGTACACAAAGTTGCTTACAGCAAAAACTCTTTGTGAATCAAGCGTTAACATTTTTCTTTGCACTTAAACTTGAAATCGTTATATTTTACATTTCTGAATATATTAAGAGTTGTTTAAGGTTTTTTCCGAATGGCAATTCATCAAAAATTCATCCTTTTCCAGCCAAGGCTCCAGCATTATTGGTGTCAGTGATGATGATAATGATGATCCATCTATCTCTTGGAAATTTTATTTGAATGCAAGACTAAGACTTTTTTACGTCTTGGCAATCTAAATAAAGATATTTTCTATGCTGCCAAGATCATATTCACTTTGCATATTCTCAAGTTGGATATTCACTTTGCAAAAATCTAGCGTTATTTAGTTTAAATTTAGAACTAAAAAGCATTTGATTAATGATTCAAATTTTTTTCACCTGTGTGTTTCATAAACCTCGGTTGAGTACTATCAATTTGCAGGACCATAATGAGAGGAATAATATTTTGTGAGGAGAATATTTATGGATCTAGTTATAGGGCAGTATTAATTTTCAAGTATACGCTTTACTTTATAGTTACTGAAGGCCGCAACCTCCAATTTAGCCAATGATTATTTATAGTAATTCGAAATTAGTTATTGATTTAAAATATTTGGCAGCCATTTCATAATTTTTAGACGTTAAAGCAAAGTTTTTTTATAGAATAAAATTGTAGCGAAACAAAAAAGTCCTGCTCCCCTTTTTCTTTGAATCAGGAAATGCAGTCAGCCCCTCTAGTAGTGACTAATTTCTCCAAGGACCGTTTAAATATGGTCTTCAATTCTATTTGAAAAAAAATGGTAAGACAGCATTTGACTGTCTGATCTGAAACAAATAAAATTATGAAAATATAGCTTTACAATATTAAATGGTTTGGTCTTATACCTTAATATTTATATTTTGCATTCGATTTTTAAAATTTAATCAATTATGCTTTATTTTGATCAAATTCAAGTAAATTATATATATATATAAGCACATTTGCAATAGTAGGCTGTAAATATTGATAACAATATTGATTGTAAATATTGATACTGTATTGATTTGATCTCTTTAGAAAATAGCAAGGATAATTTTCATAGCAGTGCAAAAATCGATAGTATCTACACACACAAAAGCTGTTTTTTTGTCTATCTATCTATCTATCTATCTATCTATCTATCTATCTATCTATCTATCTATCTATCTATCTATCTATCTATCTATCTATCTATCTATCTATCTATCTATCTATCTATCTATCTATCTATCTAGCTATCTATCTATCTATCTATCTATCTATCTATCTATCTATCTATCTATCTATCTATCTATCTATCTATCTATCTATCTATCTATCTATCTATCTATCTATCTATCTATCTAATCTATCTATATTTTTTTGGCAATTTTTTATGGAACAGGGTTAGAGTGCCAAAAGGTTTTCCGCACACCTTCCATCACTTTTCTAGTCTAGTGCCCTCAGCCCCGAAGTGAAGTACTGTCACCATTACCAGTCATAATAAATTTTCTGGTTTCTTTACCCTAGCTCTAGAGAAACAGATCGTAACAGATCATGTACAATGATTATGTTGAGGAAGAGAAGCTTTTTCAAATTATAAGTTTCCTTGTCATTGAAACTTGGACAGCATATGTACATCAATGGAAAAAATTGCAAAGCTTATATAGGTATCGAATGGCAAGATAATAAAGATGTTCTTGCAAAGTCAAATCAGAAATTGTACATGGTATGTCTGTGTTGTGTGTGATGTAGAAGGGCAAAGTAGAGTGTGGTATGGTGTAGAAATACGCCTGCTGGTTTAAAAGACCCCTACTCTTATATAGCATTTACTTAAGGTTTTTACCCCCATCAGCTAGGGTGTGTCGTGTTGATTCTTAAACATATTTTGGGCTAGAATTTAGTTAAAAAAAAGCTTTGCTTTGGTGTAAAAGCCAAAGGTTGAAAAAGGACTTTTACCTTTAGCTAGTGAAATTTCTCCCATTTCATAATTTCTCCGCATCATTAGTAATCGGCAAATTCTCTATCAAATTTTTTCCGAACTTGTATTACAGACTCTTAATTCTCAGATGTGACCAATAAATGATGTAACTTAAAAATTCACATTTGAATAGATGCATATCCTTCCACAGGCGAAAAACAAAATATTAGCTTGAAGCTTGGATTTGTGAGCTTTGTATTAGGGCTTTGTTCGAGGTCTTAGGGCGAGTGAAATTTTCCCTGTTTCATAACGGCGCTAGTAGCCTGTAAATCTTTTGTTTACCTCCGTTAAAAACCGATATTAAAGATTTTAAACCCCCCTTGCTAATGCAAGGTTAAAAAGCAAAACAAAGATTTGGATGTGGTTATCATTTAAATATATCTATGCGTAAATAGAACATTTAATGACAGAACCAACAAATTCAGATTACAGATTACATGAATTACATGAATGCCTATTTTCCAACAGGCAAGCAAACAAAGTCACAGCACTGCAAACTACTCATTCTGTGAGTTCCCTGACATACTGCAGCTAAACCACGGTCTGATGTCGTTGTTGGGCATGTGATCTGATAAATGCATGTATTGGTATCAGATCTCTGGAAGGAACATCTGGCACCCAATCGTTGGTTTGATCCTCTGCAAGAGTATACAACGTTGACACTTTTCAAGGTACATGCAAAGAAATTCGTGATTCTTGTGTTTGTGCTCCTTTTCGTTTTCCCTGTAAAGGAAAAAATATGTTACGATCAACAGTTTCAAAAAGATCGTCTCAATTTCCCAAAAATGTGTCTGGTTACCCCACCCGCCCAAACGTTTTTCTTGTTTGGCTATGTAAGAACTCGCCTACCTGCTATATAATATGCAAGGCCCAGAGCAACATTCTCTGCATTTTCTTTGGTGACATCAACAGTATAAAGCATTTCATATCCACCACAGTGAGCAACGATTTTTTCTCCAACCTCTTCAGCTGTCATTCTTCTAACAACTAGCTGGTTGGTTGATTCGACCATGTACCTGTCTGTCGGGAACCGAGAATGAGTCTAAAAATATAAAACTCGTATCAGAAATAACGAACAATTTTCAATTGCGCGCACTTAAACGTAGCCATTGCTAGGTATTATCGTGTGACATATTTTAATCGTTTCAAAATTAATAACCAATAATTATCAATTATCGATATGCTTGATGGACTGTTTACAGGTAGGTTCAAAATGTTTAAACTTCCTGAAAATGTCTCGAATAAATAAAGAGAACAAGAGTTTTAATAGCTAGGGAAGAAGCTAACAGTACAGATTAAGTGATAAGTAACGGTTTATTGTTTAGACATGTATAATGAAGATATGCATGCAAAAAGTATGACTCAAAAGTATGATTAAATATTCAAAAAGCCACAGTAAGCTTTTAGGTGTCACAAATCTTTATATGGATATGCAGTTTCTTTTACTGAGATCATACCGCTGTTAAACTCTCCTTCATCTGAAGAGGACGTTGTTCCGCTGCCTTGATTTCTGATATGTAGCACTTCTTTCTCGTCGGTAGCTTCATTGCACTAAGACCCTTGGCACAAAAAACAGAATTTAAATCTTAATTTCTTTTCTTTACGATGATATCTCAGAATCTCAGACATTGTGTTAGATGTGACATAAAGGGCTAGATCATTAATATGCGAAAAGTTTGCGAAAATAGTTTCGACAAACTTTGCGTTTTCATATCAAATTTTCAAACTTTGCGTTGAAGCAATTAATCGCAAAAATCAAAGTATTTAAAGCAAGAATAGAGCAAGATACAAAGGTACCATAGAAGGAAAAATTTGTACCTTGTTGAAGTCATTCAGTTGGTGAAGTTGTAGCCTGTTTTGGTGCTGAGGAACCTTTATCTCCTCGGTGTTTCCAGCGATATCAACCTTAACTTCCTCTGAAAATTTTTCACCATTTTCTGCAAGTTGTATGCGAAAATTTTCAGCCTGAAAGAAAAAATTCATGGTGAATATTCCTTTAGAAATAAAGTCCAAAAATTATGGAACCTGTTTCTTCTGGCAAGAATGGAACTTGCTGTCTAGAATTAACTTGATGAAAAACACCAAAAATATATATTTGACCGACATTTAGAGGGCAGTATGGAAGTTTATGTGCAATTTTATAACTGCTGCACTAAAGAAGCCCTAGAAGATATTAATGGGTGCTGAAAGCAAGAAAATAAGCATCTTTTAGATGTTCTCTTTCAAAATAAATAGATGTTACAACTTTTGATAATAAAAAATATGATTTAGCATGCAGATAAGACTGTAACCGTTATGGATGTATCAGTTTTGTTGTATATACTTTATGTACTTGAGCAAATTTCATACCATCATAGGCATATCATTCTTTAAAAATAATGACCAATATCAGGCCTATGATGGTATTCATTATATTATCATAATTTCTCAGCTGTTATCATTTTTCCTGGCTCTTCTTTTTCTATTCTGAATAGACTTTAACGTAGATTAGAGGAAATTTAGGAGATTCGTTCTTACCGATATTACAGCAACGATGCAGCAAATGATAAATGTCTTCATTTTGGTTTCTCAGATTGACAGAATATCTATATAACAAGAAGCAATAATTACTTATAAAAACACGATTTGTGAGATCGTTTCTGTTCCTATGATAAATGATGCTTTTCTTTGTTGCTTTCACATTTCAAAAATTAAAAACTAGCCTGAAATAAATAGAAGATCAAAAAAGGATTAAATACGTCAATTTTGATTAACGATTCTCACAACTACTGAAGTGAATCAGAATGAAATGTCAATTATAAGACTTTAATTATGGTTAATTATGAGACAATTATGAAGATTTACCAATGTTGTTGTCTTCTAACCAGTTGCTACGTTCAGTGTTGGCTCAAATGTGAATCATTTTCATTCAAGAACCCTTTTTATAAGTACAAAAAGGATTAGCAGAAAATAAACAAAAACAAAAACATGGCAGCTAGATAAATTCCTACAATTGAGCAGCATTCCAAGTAAATTTGTTTTGTAAACTCATTATCTCTGTTTTTGCAAAATAATTGTTGTTTATTCAAAAGTGTGGGTGAAAGTAAGGCGCTGTGACCATGTGGAGAATTTCAAGGTATTCATTGTCACTCGGAAATTTGGTTCACGAGCTCAAGTTTAAGTACCATTATTGGAAAAATTTGTTTGCTATCAATTTAACAATATTGATTAATCTTTTACAGGTTGCTACCATTTTTAACGGAAGAATTTAAAGACATTTTTGATAACCCAATTGAACACCCAATTGAAGCATTGAAATCAACATAATCAAAACGAACAAAACTTTGCTATCAGCTTGAAAAAAATAAATATTTGATGTAAACAACGTCCTAAACTACATTGCTAATCAATCTGTTTTATTCATGCAGCCTCGCTCCGTTAATTGCATTGACTAAGCAAAATAAATGTAGATGTTCGTTTACTTCGAAGAGCTATTCAATAGTTCTAGAAACACAAAAACGTATTAAAGAATTGTTTAGATAAGTGTATAGAGTACCGAAGTGTGACGTCATCAAAAGTCTATTTTCAGAATTTCTTAAATTTGGCCACACAATCTGAAAGAACATCATAAAATACTCCTCAATATGCAAAATTAGTTAGATATGTTCCAAATCGGGCGAGATATGACCGATGAAAGATTTCAAGTTTGCTAACGGATTACTGTTATTTTGGCCTGGTTCATAAAGTTATGAACCAAGATCAAATTACAGAGGTTTGATGGGACAGAGCCTGTGCTCAAGTGGCCATATCTCAGCCAATTCATAATACCTTTAACTGATTTTGCATATTTACAGGTATTTCATGATGCTCTTTCAGGTTCTGGGATCAAAATTCAGAAATTCTAAAAATAGATTTTTATGACGTCATCACTTCGGTACTCTATTGGCAATTACTTTCTCCATAACAATCAATTTCTGTATCATAATTCAACTTTTACATGGTAGCTTAAAATGAAAATAATATAGACGCTTAAAAAATAATATGAAAGTCCATGCATCAGGAGATCACCCTTCTTTCGTAAATTACACCAGAGTCTTTCTAGACGTGACAAATACTCTAGTATCAAAAATCGTATGCTTAACTTATTTTACTTATGTTTGAACTAAATATGTTGGTGTAGAGCATTTAATATTCGCGAAACATGAACTTAAAGATGCCGTATCATGTAAATAATTGAAAGTGAACGATATTGATTTTTGTAATCAGATAATTGAAATGTGAATGGCAAATGCAAATGCATGTAGTGTACGCTGTATTGCAAATGGCCATTGCCCGGTGACCTTTTAGGCTTTTGAACTTAGGACTACAGGGTTAGGGCAATTTTGCTAATTAACCTTTAGAAATTATCATATATTTAGAAAGTAGGATCTACATGCTAGTTCAGCAGTTCCAATATTCACCATATGCAAAACATGTTGCAACACAGGTGCTTAAACATGAGATTGTGGGTAAACAATTTGCTTTGCAATTTGCCTTACCTGAAATTGGTTTTCTAATTACTCTCAGCTAATTTAGTGGTGACTTTTCGCTTATCTCACATTTTCAATTTTCAACAGATTAATCCATTTTCGACAACTGCCAAAGATGAGTAACTAAATATCTGGAAAGATATATCAACAGTCGGGTTATTAAAAATGCTGTTAAAATAATATACAATGCATCTCTGCCAATTGATACACCTATTTTGTCAATAGCAATATTTATAAAATCCCTGTACATGATATAATTAACTTGAGTACCACAGCCTCGTATGATATACAAAAAAAAGGGTGAAGGGTTATCGAAGAGTTAACTTTTTTCTTTCGGGTCTTTCTAGGTACAAGAAGTTGTTTCTTCTTGAGTTTCTTGACATACAGTTATTCAATTTATCACCCCCAGTTGCTATATAAAGCTTCAGTTAGCATTCCCCGAGTCAAGAGCAAAAGAAAACAACAAAATGTGGTCCAGAAACTTGAAATATATTTTAAAGTATATCTAAGTATGAGAAAATGTTTCGTTTCAGGTGCAAAGATTTAGAGATATATCGGTAAAAGAGGAAGAGTCTTAATTACATCTAGCACGAAATTAAAGGCACATAAATTACAGTTTCAAAATAGAATTTATTTACAAAACTACTTGCACTAACTGTTTCACTTGAATTGCATTATGCTACACAGAATCTTCTATAAAATACAAGAATAGCTTATAGAATAGTCCAGAAATACATAAGACTTTGTAGGGGCAGAACGTGATGTTTTGTACATTAGACGAACCACAATCGTATGACATAATATCTTATATGGTTGCTTGAAACGTGAACTATTTCTATATTCCTTTCGGGAGCTTTCTCAAGCCTTTTATATAATGCATTAGGGGCTCGTAGCTAGGAGGTAACAGCTTATCGGATTGAAACATTTTAAACTGTGGATAATAACATGGTTATGCATTGAATATATAAAACATATAATACATAAGATATAGAATATGAACATAAACTTTGATTAAACTAAACAAGACTATTTTACTACACTTACCCACTTTGCTGCCTGTTCACAACACAAGCTATTGATTAAATTCACGCATAACTATCATTTTTAATTTGTGTTTAGATTTTCCAAATTTTGACCTTAAATAATCTTATAAAATCTGTTTTTAAAAATGTGTACTTTGTATCTGTTAGGGGAGACGCAACACATCTTATTTCTTCTAGTAGTTTGCTATCAAGAAAACATGCCATTGTTAGGCAATTATTGGGGAGGCAGCCCCCCCCTCCTTCCCCGTTATCTGGCCCTGACTGAAAGTCAATAGACAATTTCGTTAATTTGCTAAATAGGGTCTTTTCTACACACCTACTGTTTCCCATATTGGTTTTGGTTACGTCACATCTCACTTTTGTCTCTATTTGTCAAACTCTGTCTTCTTTTTGCTCGACTCGTTTCTTTTCGAGTCACTTGAGAACGAGTACATGCTCGAAACGTCGTGTTTTCGTAAATAAACGTGTTTTTACAGTTTATTTATCTTGGTACTTACTATTCTTGCTCATTAAATTGTCGCTTGTTTGATAAAGTATCACACGCAACTTGCACGATTTTCAAGAGGGCTGGTTACATTTTGCTCTGAAAGAAAGCTATCTGACTGGAGTTCCCCTTTATGAAGAGTCGTGCTCTGGGATATTGGTTTTTAATTGCAATATTCAGCACAAAATACGTTAATACCTACAAAGTACCTTGAAAGAATAACATGTTTTTATTCAAAGGTATATGGTTGTTCAGTACTTTCTCGACTAAAAAATTTTAATTTTAAAATGCTGAGCGTGCTTTGCTGTTCCTTGTTAATTCCTTTTCAAGATCACTACGAAACCTTATAGAATCGAATTCAGCGTTGATTCGGTTGGTAAGAAATTTTGAGCCTTTTTGATAAAACTACTTTTAAGTACATTAAGAAATATTAAATATATAATACGACATGCCCGCTGTTAAAACAGTCTCATTTTGAAATCCAGAGTCTTTGTTGGTTAAAAACATATTACTTGAAGAGAGATTGTCAGTGAAATTAATAGCACGTAAAATTCCATGACATTGCTAATTTCATAATTGGTTTCTTTCAAACTGAAATCTCCAACAATGACATATCGTGGGGAAAATTACTCCAGCACTTTTCACATTTCCTTCATATCCGCATCGGTAAATTATTTCAGCAATGAGAAGGAGGCGGTAGGCACGCATCACTGCCCTTGACCCTTACCACAGAGCACAAACTTCAGACCGCAAACTACAGAACACAAACCACAGACTCATTGATATGTTGTCCGCTACCCAAGCCTGTATTTGACTATATTGTGTTGCACTGTGCGAAATGTTTGCATGTACAGTAATTTTTTAAACAATATTACTGAAGAGTGTGGAAAATAACACGAGTGCTGCAATCATCAGTGAAGGTGCCTTGGCTGAAAGAGAAGAAGACCAATTATGCGAAGACTTGGTAAAAAGATTAAACACAATTAGGATTGTTACTTGGGTGTGCCTAATGTTAGTATGCGCGCAGGCTAGCCTAATATATGCCTAATAAGCAAAGAAATATATATGCTAGGAATTAAATCAGGAAACTAAAAACAATACAAAATAAAGGATCGCACCAACATTCTGCTTACAAAATGTCTAAGAACAACATTCCTCAATTGTCTTACTTTTCATTGCAAAAATGCTTTTGACTCATTTCCAGTGTAACACTGCACGAGAAAGATAGCAGACAATCGGATAGCTTACTTGATGTACTTCCACAAGGTCTCGAGTTTTTGCTAGGGCAAGGATCTGTAGAGGTTAAAAGTGATATGGGCCTTGTGAACATGGACGTTGCTGTTTGCTCAGAATTTGATATTGAAGAGTTGTCTGTTGAATTTAATGATTATATTGCCTGTTTGATTTAGACTTGAACGTTCATCTTGGATAGCACAAAGAGCTTTAATAGCAAGATTACCTCAGTGCCCTAAGACTTGTGCACAAAAAGTACAATATAATAAACATTTTATGAGCCCATTTTAAAACATTGCTCAATGGAAAACATTTGAATGAGCAGATGATACAGATAAAAAGAGAACAGGCAAAAGTAAGTGCTGATGATGAAAATAAGTAAATAAAAAAAGTAAAATTTCCACTTTTCAAAGACTAAAAATGAATTGCAGGGATTTTAAAGTGACAAAAAATCTCTGTAGCGTTACAAGAAAAGCTGCAATTTTCTAATAATCTGAAAAGTACATACTAGTGGTTGGTGGTGATGCTGTACTTGTCTGGTTTATCTTGATCTGCGATGCAACTACTGTATTTCCAGCCATCGGATCACTGGCAGTACCATATAACTTCACTGACCAGTTGTACAAAGTACCTATTAATAAATATACATTGATACTTTTCAAAGTATTTTCTATACAGAGGGTGAGTACCTATTCTAGAAGTATTAGTATTAATAGCATGTAAAAATTTTCACAAACATTTTGCATCAATACACCAAAATGGATGCATATTGCTGCAGTGACGAGCCAGCTTTAAAGATAATTCAACCACTTTATGACAATATTCAAGAATAAAATGTTTACCATTTTGCTTTGGATTTGGTTTGATATTTCTCAACCTGATTTTCCATTTTCCTCTGGGATTTTCTCCCCAAAACTGTAAGGACTTTATTGACAAGTTTTGGAGATAATTAATCTTCGGAATCGTCGGATATAAATCCAATAACCATCCTGTAAAAGAAACAATCCCTTATGATCTTCCTGTTAAAATACAAGTTTGATTTTGTTAACAACTTTTGTGCTCAAAACTGTTGTGAAATTCCTTTCTGCTGCTTAGTTTCAACAACTGGTCCTTATTTAGATTTTCTATGGAAAGCAATATAATGATAAATCGATTCGATTCAATCGTTACATTCCTTTACATTGATAAATCGATAAATCGTTTCAATAAACGTGCATTATGAACACTGTTTGGAGATGATGAATCAACCTTACGGAGAGCAATGAAATAGTTCTCCATATAACCAATCTACAAAATCTGTGACAGAGATAAACAGTTCCTAAAAAATGAAAGTACGATCAGAGTGGTGACGAATCGATCCACCTTACAATGGCCACCTAGCTTACAACTCTGTAGGATCATAGATAGGATGGATCTCATCTTCTATTTGGAGAAAAACCCTTACAAAAAATACATTAGAATACCTCAGGCACTTTATCTACAACATCTTATGCAGGAACAAAAGTGAACAGCCAGAATACACAGTCACTCATCCAGCATCTCTTTAGAACAGAATTTAAAAAAATACCTACTCAATGCGATCATGATGTACCGTATGCTTGCAAGAATACTAGAGTACAGCGCTTCATGCCAAAATAGCAGTATATTCAGAAATGAAATAGCTTTGAAAGGATGAGTATATGAATAACTGTGTAATGTTTCCTATAAATTGAGCATTAATAACCAAGAAGGGATCAAATAAGCAAAACATGCTTCATGCAGGAAGCTCTCTCTTTACAGAAACGATATTCTCAGTCCAAGGCATCACAGCTATCAGAAAATCCATACGAATCAAATGATCATTTTACCACATACGAATCAAATGATCACTTTTCTCATATCATGAACATATGTATAATGATTACGGCCTCTGGGAATGAAAGACTGTCAGAATGCCACCTATACCAAAACCATCAAATCCCGTTACGAATGAGGAATACTGTCCCATTTCCATCTTTCTAGTCTCACCGAAAGTATTCGAACTTTAGGAACTGCAGTAGAAAGTTGACTTTCTCGCATTACGTGACATTTTCCCTGACAATATGTTTGATTTAAGAAAATCAAATCAGCTTTAAAACGTGGGAAAATGATGCTTCTTTTATTGACTGACTGGTCACGAAGGACTTCTTCAGATGGGAATTAAATTACAATCACTGCCAAAATTACTTGGAACACCTAACACTTTGGGCTGTGCTTTTCTATTTTTCGTTTGATATCTTGAATACTACCACTTCCGCCCCCCTTTCCCCCCAAAACAATGTTGAAAGTATAGAAAAATATCAAATAATCCACAAGAAAAAGCGTACTCCATAACCCCTTTCTTTTTTCTATAGTAAATCAACATTGTTTCTAGGGGGAGAGGGGGGGGTGGCTGAATTTGCCTTTGAAAACCTACGTTAGTGTTCCAAGACTTTTGGCAGTGATTGTACCTCCGTGATTGTTATCAATGTGGTTTGGAGTTCTCCAAGGTCTCTTTCTCGGACTTATATTATTCAACCTCTAGGTCTCTTATCTGGAATGATATCAATGTACTATATTAGCAATATACATACGACACTAACTTATTTTTTCGTAGGGGGGGGGGGGGGTCGCCCTGACTTCGAAGTCTGAAGATGTTTAACCTTGCGCTGAATTAAAAAGGCTTGGACCAATGTGTAAAGTAAATGCCCGGAGACAAGCACATTCCCCCTGGGTGCTATGTTCAGTATTTGTAGGAAGTGATACTATTCTGTAGGGATGGTGCTTTTATTCGAGGGGGACGAGGGGAAGGGGGGGGGGGTTCATGAAATTATTGTAGACATTAAGAAGACATTATTAAAAGAACTCGTTTATTTAAGTAAAAATTTCTTAATGAGCATTTGATCAATTTTTACCAAAAGTATAAATATTTGTGGTTAATCAATAAAACGCCAAAGGCAACCTCAGATTTCAAAAATTATCAAATTGAGGGGGCCAATTCAGGGATTTACGGTAACAGTATGCTATGGCAATAGGTAGGATAAAAAGAACTATCCAATGAAGCATCAAAAAGAAATAGATATTATAGCCCAAATATGTGCTGTTTTGCCTGAATTTACCTGAGCGCTGAAGAACAGATCTGCTTCCACCAGGGCTTTCAATTTCAATTTCAATGTTACGTCGATTGGTGAAATTCAAGGAGAACTGCAAGACAACATGCTCGAGAAAGTTGATCTTTCCCCCTTCTCCTCCACAGAGGCTTGGCCAAGAAGATAAATCGACGACTTCTGTTATTGTTGCAACACCGTCAATACTACAAGAAAGAGTGTAATAAAATTACCTTTCAAAGGTCGGAGCGTGTGATTCTGACTACGTAGCACGCACCACCCAAAGATTGGAGGATAGAATAAAACAACATGTTCCGTCTAATATTAGAAACAAAACCCATCCGCAAAGAGAACAGCCACCTCGGTCTTGCAAATCTAAAATTACAACTAAAACCTGCGATTCTGCTATCGGGCAGCATTTACTAGAAAACCCAGATTGTGCAAAAAACTACAATGGCGACATGTTTCGGATTATTGGTAAAGCCCAATCGCGGTTCCACCTAGTAGTTTTGGAATCTATCTACATAAGCACGAAAAAACCGCTATTGTGTAGACAAAAGGAGTTCGTTTTCACCTTAGGACTCCTTTGGCAACATTCTCAATAGGCAAGCGGCACTGATTGGTCAACCTTTACAGTCATGTGCCCGTGTTTTTTTATTGGCCTATTTCGATCCACAACTGGGTATATATATTTCCTAGCGTAGAGTTTCCGATCTATGTTCTGACGTTTTAAACTCTGAAGAGTGTCAGACGAAAAGCTTTAGTTTACTAAATGTTTGCTTTTTTCAAAGCCATATTCATTTTTGCAAATATTTATTTGGGAAGAACATTTTAGTTACACTTGCTTACCGCCTTGGTGTACTTGGCAATACCATGACACATTCCAATTGTTTTCCGACATTTGTCCAGTTTTTGGCATTCGTTGTCACGGCATCAGCATCCAGCAATCCAAAACCAAAATAATCACTGTCTGGAAGTTGCAAAAAAGATCTTATCAAAATCTATAAACAAATATTGCTGAATTAATTTTTGTAATAATTGAGACTACGAAAATACCCACTGATGATAATTTTCATGAGAAATTCACAGGGCCATACGGTTGAATGGAAAATTCCAAGTCAATAGCACCCAGCGATTAAATTGCATAAAACACAAAAATTACATTCCATGATGAGGGTAGGGGTGGGGCTAGCTCTTTTTTGTGCGAGTATGCCACCTCAGCCGTCTACAATTTATCGCTGGATTCATGAGGCTCTGGTATCCAGGGTACTGATCTATAAGTCCACGAGGAGATGTGAGGCTTGTATTAAATTGTATCTTTTTTACATCTGCATTTGACAACGTCAAGCTTGAAAAGGTGCAAACAAGTATTGAGTCTTTCAAAAATGTCACCTCAACATATTTACTATTAACAGCAAGGTCAACTGCTCATACATTTAAATCCAGCTTTGTTTGTATTCCACTGGACGGAGGAGAACTGAGAACACGAGCTTCTAGCAATCAAGTGCTGGACATCTCTCCAACCAAGATTCGGGCTAAAGTATGGGAGTAGGAATCACGAAGTAAAAAACTATATACTTCTAATCAGAACATAAAGATATAGGTCAATTAAATCAAGTGCTACATGGAATTTGAAAATATGATTGTTCGCTTACATATTACTGAAGAAGAGAACAGAAGTGGGAAAATGTTCAGGTAAAGAATTTATGAATCATTTGGCAAAAAATTTCTGAAATAGAAAGCTCTCATATGTGACAAATATGTTGTCAATTTTTCATATCCTTGTGATATTGAAGAAATTAAGATATCTTAAATATTGACAAAATTTTCTCCAGATTTAGGAATCAAATGTCTTTTTAGGGTCTTTTTAGGGTCTCTTTAGGGAGCCCCAAAGGGTAAGCAATATAACTTTGGCTTATAATTTTATATGAAAATTACACGTTAAACGTGTATAATTTTCATCTCGCTTTATCCCAATGTGAAATTAGGTTGCATAAATTTTATTCATATAAAATTTTTTCTGCATTGTTCTTGAAATATCTTTTTATTTCGTCGAAATCTAAGAAACAAGACGCACAATTACATCAAAAATTTAACCGTTGAAGTGTTAATCCGATAGGTATATAACATAGATTCGATTTCAGGTTCTGTTGGTGTCTAAAAACAGTGAATGAAGCCTCCGTATAACGGATACCGTTTGGGCCAGTGTAATTGTCTGATATACAGAAGTATAGAGGTTCCCTTAAGAGCGTTTTGACCATTTGGCGCAAAAATATTTTTCCGCTCTGAGAGGTTTCCATTGTATTTAAATGTCCTCTATAATCGCGCTTTTAGAAAATAAAATGTAGTACCTTCCTTCCATTTTGGCCTAGGAAGATCCATTACAGTAAGAGTAGAAAACTTTGAACAAGAAAATATCTGATAAAAAAATTTAGAAAAAATCGATCCCGGGTATTCGATCATGTTTAGATCCGATCCCGTGTAAACAAAACCTTTCAGTCTCAAGATAAAATAATTACGGATTCAACTGTTTTGCAAAGAAATATGGCACAAAATCTCAAGAGCAGATAATGCAATCGGTAGTAAACATACTTTGCTTGAAGAACCAAGGCAATAATTCCTGCGGCAACAGCATTAGCACCATATGATGACCCAGTATTCTCTTTACATTTATTCTGCAACGCACATGATGGCTGAAAGGAAAATCGACATCGCAAATTTTGATTTCACATTGTTTAAAGAAAAGGCAATTGCATTATCTGGCTGCCAGAAAAACTTAGGTTTTAACTGAAAAATTATATTTTAAAAAATGCGACAGCATTTCGCAAAAAATGACAGTACTTGAAAGTTATTAATATCTAAGCACTTGTTTCGTATGAAAAATAAGATTCTTACCATGCGATCATGGGGATACTTCAATCCTAGGTACAAATCCCTTGAATAAGTGACAGCATGTATAGAGGGACATGCCATGTTATGATACGATCGTACATTCTTTCCTGTTACAAGACTTATGCCAATGGTGTAGACAGAGGTAATGTATTCGTTGAAAGCGCAACTTCCATTGAAAAGTCCACTATTCCCAGCAGAAAACATATAGATACTACCCTTGCCGCCTCGACCCTACAAAAAGGAACTGATTCAGTGCCTTCTTAATCAAATCAAGGACAAATTGGGTTTATCTTGCATTTTACACAACATAACATAACACAACATAACACAATATACATAACATAACATAACAAAACATAACATAACATAACATAACATAACATAACATAACATAACATAACATAACATAACATAACATAACATAACATAACATAACATAACATAACATAACATAACAAACATACATAACATAACATAACATAACATAACATAACATAACATAACATAACATAACATAACATAACATAACATAACATAACATAACATAACATAACATAACATAACATAACATAACATAACATAAAAAACAATAATACCTTTTCAGTTGCATTTTTTAACGCAGCTTTGATAGGTTCTTGCACATATCCAAAGGATGATGGTGGACCCCAAGAACACAAATATATATCATTAACATGATGTGCATATTGAATCAAATGTGCAAATCTGTTTGGGTAGGATGGATCTGTCGAACTTCCACGCAAATGCTTGATGCCTGAAAAATGATACATTCTTCTAGAAACTAAAATGAAATAATATTAAACGCTTGGCAATACTACTTTGAATTGAGCCATGCTAGTAATTAGAATGAGAACACTAATGACAAATCAATTTAAAAAAATTAAGAGGAATATGGGTACTGGAGTGAGTTTTCTTGTTTATAATTCTTTTTATTCCTTAATACTTCTTTACCATGTTGTTTTACTTGTTTACATCTATCATTTACTTCTAGCTTACTATATACAATATAATATGTACAAAGGAAACTAATTCAAATCGATGAATAACTAAACGAATAAATGAACAAATACTTAAATGTACCTAAATGGATACTCTTTCAGTCTTATACTTAAAGAAATATAATAAATCTAAACTTTGAGGCGCAAACTGGCATCAGTTTGGCCATTTCACATTTTTATCATAAGTTTGAAGTTATCTAAATTTTCCGCTGATTTTATTTGATTTCGTGGCCTATTCCAAACTTGCGGTCCCAATGACTGTGGGCTTTTAGAACCAAACGTTACTTGATACTGTGATTTTGAAAATGTTTTGCGTAAAAGACGAATTTAGATTTTTCAATGTCTTGAAATTTTCATACGGGGAACATGCATTGTACACTTTTCTGATTTCACAAGTAAGTCGCTGTAAGAAGAGAATCGCTCATTATAGGAAAATCTTAAGGGTACATTCTTGGATCTTTTCAATTTTTTGCAAAGATTTACCTGATGAAAGGTACCATACAAGAAGATAATTATCAAAATTTGAGTACACAAAGCTTTGGGCAAGAACTATCCTTTCTTTAAAATTAATAGATTTTTAGAGTCTTTTCAAGACATTAAGTTGTGACGCAGCTTTTTTGCAGAGTTTGGAAACTTGAGGTTCAAAATTTAGCTTGTAATCTAGCTGAACACCTAGCAATTTGATATTTTTCCTGACTTTGTCAGGCTACCTCGAATGTGGAAATCTTGTCCATTGGTACTTGTACTCTTTTGGGGATTATTGCAGTATTCATGCACAATTGATTATATGCCGTCATGTACCCTTTGGCAAACTATCTTGTAACAAGAATCTTGAAAAGTTATTTTAAATACTTTTTGAAATAATCTAGTATCTTGTAATAAGATTCTTTTGTGACTAAGAGTATTTTGTAATAACATACTTAATCTTCTCAAGAACAGTATCTTGTATTTCTTGGAGTATCTTGCCCATCTCTGATTGTAATATTATGACTGAATTCAAAGGGATAAAAAACATCTCTGTTTAGAATAAATTGAAAGCCCACAAAACTGTGTGTGAAAACGATGATCTGAAAATAAGCAAAACTGACACTTTGTAATCGCTCTTAGATCGTAGGTAAATGTTATCTTCTTCGGGTTACAAACCTGAGAACTTGGCGTCATATGCAACTCCCACTATGCATTTGCCATTATTTGCTTTGGCAAGAGCTAGACCTGCCATCGCAGTTCCATATGATAATGGTCCACTGTAACAGAATAGTCAACATATTCAAATAAGGTTAAAGAATAATTGACCTAGGAAATCAACTCTTAAATATTTAAGGTTCTTAGATTTTTGTTAAATAGTGTGTCGTGGAGGGGCTTTGTGGGCTGATTAGGCCATTTTGGTTCCTCATAACGTATCTTTTATCATTGTCCCTGACAAGAATTTTATGGTTTCAATTTGCTTCGAAGGTTTACTTGTATTTTACAAGCTTTTTTCTTTTTCACTTAGCTTCGTTTCGTTTCATTTTGTTACATTTCGTTGTACAGAAAAATACCACTCTATCGTGCAGGGAAAACCTGTCCTCAAGGACAACACCTCAACACGCCAAAGGGAAATTATATGTTCCAAAGCCCTAGAAAAATATCTTCAAAAAATAGTCCGATAAGCTATGGGAGAACTCAATTACCCACCCTAATAACCACATGACTACAACAAAATCTTCCTGTCCAGATATGCAGGCAATGATGCCCCCAGAAAGCAAAAAGGCAATCTGTCCTTCAGCAAAAAACCCCTAAACAACGCTGCCAAGCACATCCCTGACAGCCAAGAACATTGCGAACAACAAACTCCAGGCCTACACAACCCTGAAAGGCCAAAAAATCAATTAACTTATAACTATTAGGAGAAGAGGGTCCCTGCAGAATAACTGTACCAACCAGGTTAAAAACGGGGTTATCTTTACTGAATGCTTTCGATACTATAGGGAGTACCAGTGTACAAGAAACACTCTTGTGTAAGCAAAAGGCCTCCTTTTTAAGAAACATTTTTAGCGTTGAAATAAAAATGTTTCTTATTCTAAAAAAAACAGCTAAAATATTGGACTTGGTAATAATAAGATGATATAGAAGACTTGATTTCAAGCAGACAGAGTAAAATGATTTGGTGCAAAGAACAAGACTGTCCCAAGTAGCTATCCGTTTATTTTAGGTAAGTGATTCAATGTTAGAAAGGGCCGATTTATGTAAAATGCAAGACATCTTTTGAATCTAAAATCAAGATTCGAAAATTATATAAAACAACAAATTATTAAAACTTTCAAAACATCTTAAGTGATAGCAATATCAAACCTTCTTACTCGTAAATTGTGAGGCCATCTGGAGTTGGATCAGAGCTATTGGTTTTGTAATCAAAACTGCCCTCGACAACCTACAACAAAATATATGGTTTTGTTACAGTCAAACAGTTGAAATCATAGTTGCCAAGTCACTCTACGATTCATGCATTTCAGTTTTGATATATGTTTGACAGCAAATATTTCATGCTTCCAATGTTGTTAAATCTTTGCATAATTTGATAGCAGCAAGCTTAGAGCAGTTCTGGTTATATGAAACTTTTTTGCGTGCTGGTAATCGCAAGCCTTGAAAAGGTAAGGCGTGCGATGATGTGCGATAGCGTGCAATTCATAAAATTGAGACCTTACAATTTTTATGAAGACGTGATAGCCTTTTAAACGCCATGTAGCGATATATTTTTTTAAAAGGGAGTAACACTGTTTGAAAAAGTGTTGGAAGTTTTCATAGAACCAAATAATTTTTACGGAATTTAGAAAGAAATAAGTTTCTTGAAAAAAATAACTTAACAAAAAGACAGAGACACAGCGAAGAAAGAGACATTCGAAAATGGAGTCATTAAATCTCAGCAAAAAGCGCTCGAACAAAGGATATAAGAACGGATAAAAATGGAGTTATGGAAACACCAACGTTATAAGTGGCTCGAGGTAATGTTTTCAAGAAAATACAAAAATGGAATGAGGCATATACGAAAACATAATAATGGAAACCGGGCTCTAAAAAAAGTAATAATGATCCCCGCAAATGCCATTAAAATAACGCTGACGAAAGAAATGAAAAGAAACTTTATCTAGAGAAAATAAATAAGAAATTAAAGAAACAGAAGAGAAGAAGAATAGTAAGTCACGGAACAGCGCGTGCGATAAAGAGCGCGCCTCGGCGTGTGCGTGCAATCACAAGATTATTACTGACAGGCATGTCTCTTAGAGCATTCCATAGGGTTAGTTATTTCCACGATGTTAGTAATTTCATGGTAGCATTTTCCATTATTATGAAATAAAAAACAAATACTAGTCAATTCTTTCATTTTTGTCACTACCATTTGGGCAAGAAAACCTTACAACGTTTATTCACATATTGATAAAAGTTTAATTTTTGATAAAAATTAGCCCAAAGGACAGAAGAAGCTGCAATGTTAGTTTTGAAGAGTTTTTTATGAAAATTGCCTCTCATGAAAGATATTTGCAACCAAATTCAAAAGTATGAGGATACTCAATAGCTGAGTATATCTTTGTCTCAAAGAGCAGCTCTTTTTAATCTTTTGCCATGTTGCTATTTCCAAGTACCGTATTTACTCAAGTGAGCGCCGCAGCGCTCTTTGAATTTCCGGTACTTTTGATGCAGCGTTTATTTGGAGGCGGCACTCTTATGGGGGCGGCGCTTTTTGAAAACCCTTCATTTTTGAATAAAACAAATCTTTTGGTAATAAAACATACAAGTTTCAAAATATCTTTTAAGAATCATAAAATGGCATGTCACTTCATCTCCAGCTCAGTGACGTGATGATGGGACTCATACAGCTAAGTACATTTGTCCTAATTTAGAAAATCAAAATACCAATGAAATTGCTAGTTCTGATACCGAAGATATTAACCCCCTTGCCAATCTATCAACTATTAGGAACAAAAACAAGAGAGGCCTAATTGTGGCACATCTAAATATAAACTCAATCCGAAACAAAATAGAGGATCTCAAAACCCTGATTGCAAAAAATGTTGACATCCTCGCAGTTTCTGAAACCAAATTAGACGAATCCTTTCCTACTAATCAGTTTTTAATTGATGGTTTCAAAAAACCCTTCCGTTATGATAGAAATACAAACGGTGGTGGGATTCTGGTTTATATCAGAGAAAAAGTTCCAGCAAATGAAATTAAACTGGTGAACATCGCCAATTCAATTGAATGTGTATTAACTGAAATTAATGTGGGCAAGAAAAAATGGGCATTGATCAGTACCTACCGCCCCCCTTCTCAATGTGAAAAAATTTTCTTCGCAGAGATGGGCAAAGTGCTTGACCAACTTACACCTCGATACGAAAAATTCGTCATTATTGGAGATTTAAATTCGGAAGAGAAAAATTATGAAATTAGCAATTTCATGGATATCTATGGATTAAAAAATCTAATAAAAAGTCCCACTTGTTATAAATCTGCTGACAATCCCTCTTCCATTGATATGTTTCTAACGAATAAAACCTCTGGTTTTCAAAACACTACGACAATAGAAGTGGGATTGTCTGATTTTCATCTAATGATACTAACAGTGTTAAAGAGTGGTTTTGTAAAAAGAGGTCCAAGGATTGTGACATACCGAGACTACAGTAAATTTGATCCTATAAAGTTTCGCAGTGACCTTAGAAGCAATCTAGCTAAGAGCAGCGAAGCATACTCTGAATATGAAAATTTTAATTCTGTAGTCGAAGAAGTTCTGAATAACCATGTACCTCTAAAACAGAAATATTTACGCGCAAATGATGCACCCTTCATGACGAAAACTTTAAGAAAGGCAATTATGCTCCGTTCACAGTTACGTAACAGATTAAACAGGCATAATACTTCTGAAAACTGGAACGCTTTTAAAAAGCAAAGAAATAGGTGTGTGAAAATTCTGCGACAAGCAAAAACGTCATATTATGGTAACCTTGATATAAATTCTGTCACTGACAATAAAAAGTTCTGGAAAACTGTAAAACCACTTTTTACTGACAAGGTACAAACCTCTTCAAGTATTACGCTTATCGAAAATGAAAAGTTTATTACGAATGACAGTGAAATAGCTGAGATCCTTAATGAATTTTTTACAAATATCACAAAGACAATTGACATTGCCCCTGGTGAATGCATTCTCAATTCGACCGACCATTTGCTGGATCCTGTTGAAATTGCTGTTGAAAAATATAAACATCATCCCAGCATCCGCAAGATTAAGGATAAGGTAAACCATGGCACATTCTTCGAATTCAAACCAATTACAATGCAGGCAGTCAATGATGAATTATTGAGACTAAATACAAAAAAAGCGTCTACAATTGAGAGTATTCCTCCGCGGATACTGAAAGAAAACGAAGACATTTTTGCACCATTACTGACGACAATTTTCAATAATTCATTGCTCCAGAAAACGTTTCCTGAAGATCTTAAATTAGGAGACATAACTCCACTATTCAAAAGTGACAAAACTACAGAAAAACGAAACTATCGACCTATCACCGTTCTATCCGCATTATCAAAGGTCTTTGAACGGCTTCTATATGCTCAGATGGTCGACTTCGCGGATACGTTCCTAGTTCCCGACTTATGTGGTTTTCGGAAAGGTTTCAACACACAGCATGCGCTGTTGAGATTAATGGATATCTGCAAGAATTCCCTAGATAAAAAAGGGGTGGTTGGTGCCTTGCTAATGGATCTCTCAAAAGCGTTTGATTGCATAGACCATGAGCTATTAATTGCGAAATTAAATGCCTATGGTTTTTGTAAAGATGCTCAATTATTGATTTATAATTACCTGTCCGGTAGAAGACAAAGGGTAAAATTAAATGGTTCATTCAGCACTTGGCGAGAAACCTTTGCAGGTGTACCACAAGGATCAGTCCTTGGGCCTCTTCTCTTTAATTTATATATTAATGATTTATTCTTAATGGTAACTGATACTGCAGTATGTAACTTTGCTGATGATACTACGATTTTTGCAGCTGACTGTCAATTAGATAAAGTTTTAGAACGGCTAGAAACTGATGCTCTTATTTTATCAAAATGGTTTCCAGAAAACTTTATGAAATTGAATGCAGAGAAATGTCATCTTCTTACTTTTGGTACAAATCAAGATGACCTTAAGATCAAAATCGGTGAGGCCATTGTTGAAGAAAGCTCTGAAGAAAAACTGCTAGGGGTGATAATAGATAAAAATCTTAATTTCAAAAGTCACGTCTCAAATTTATGCAAAAGAGCCAGCCAAAAACTGCATGCTCTTGCTAGAGTTTCGCCATTTATGGGTTCTGATAAACTGCGTCTCCTAATGAACAGCTTCATAAAAGCTCAGTTTAGTTACTGCCCCCTAATTTGGATGTTCCATGACAGATGTCTGAATGCTAAAGTAAATAAAATCCACGAAAGAGCACTCAGAATTGTTTATAAAGACAGTCATGCTGACTACGAAGCATTGCTGACTTTGGATAATGCAGTATCAATTCACCAACGCAATCTACAGTACTTGATGATAGAAATATACAAAACCAAACATAACCTGAACCCTAGTTTCATGAGTGAGATTTTTTGAAACAAGAAATGTACATTATGATTTGCGAACTAAAAATAATCTTTGCATTCCAAAAGCCAGGACAACTTCTTATGGTATAGAAACTGTGAGATATTTAGGTCAAAAACTGTGGCAAACACTACCTCACAGTATAAGAGAGTCCCAATCATTGGCAACATTTAAAAAGAATTAAGAGCACATCCTATAGAATGCGACTGTAGATTGTGTAAAAAATTTATTGCTGGGTTAGGTTTTATTTAGAACATTATACCTTAAACCTTTTTAATATTGTATCATATATTTTTATTTCATACTAACTCTTTATAGATAGTTGGCCTTAATTAGCTTCTTTATAGCTATCAACCGTTCATTTAGTACGCCAACTTTAAACAAATTATTTATTATTATTTTTATTATTATCTCCATTGCCGGAGACCAACTGCATTGATTTTCGAGCGCCGCCTTTACAAAAAGATAACTGCGGTGATAATTCGGGGGCGGCGCTCTTTAACTTTATTTGTCTCAAATGTGGCGCTCATTCGGTGGCGGCGCTCATACGGGGGCGGCGCTCATACGGGGGCGGCGCTGATACTGGGGCGGCGCTCATACGGGGGCGGCGCTCATACGGGGGCGGCGCTCATACAGGGGCGGCGCTCATACGGGGGCAGCGTTCATACGGGAGCGTCGCTCACTCGAGTAAATACGGTATGTTAAAAATAACTTTATACAAAACGTTTTCTCATTCCTCTCATGGGTTGATTAAAAGTTTTCCCTTCAATAAACAAAAAAATTATCCTCTAAGTGTCTAGCAGAAATACACTACATTTGGGTCCAGAATAGACAGAAGTCTAGAATGAACAGGGTGAATGCACAATTTTCCAAATGATAAAAAAGGGGTGAATGATAAGCAGTTCCTTTAAAAAGGAAACATGAGAAATAATAAACAGGTCATTAAAGAAAACAGAGACTAATAAATATTCTCCGTTTCTTATAGTGTTTTCCTGTTTCTTTTTTCTCTATACCTTTCATTTCACTACCACAAACTTCAATACCGAGACCTTGCATTTCCTCAAAAAGGGAGGGGGGTTGGGGTTAGGGCCAGTTAGGATGCTATGGGTAGATTTTCGTCAAAGAATTGTATAAGGTGCTTATTCAGGACTGAGGAGCAGATTTTGAGCAATAATTTGTAGACTTCACTGTCCTGACAAGCAAGCCTAATGCAATTACTAAATATTGATTACATCAAAACTCAATGTTGATAGGAAAGCTATAGATAAATGAATCATGAACTAACCAAAGATAACAACATGGTAAGGCAAAACATTAAAGCCATCAAATCAATTATATTTTTTACAGTGGCAATAAAATATGCTACTCACAAATTTAGAGGAAAGATCGTCATGATTCTTGTCAACTCCAGCTGGATCATTTACACAGATAGTGACACCTTTCCCAGTCAGTCCTTTTTTCCAAGCTTTGTGTATATTCATTGTCACCCCATATCTCTCATTCTAGGAATTATTGAAACAACAAAAAGCAATATACGAAAATGATATGTTGATATCAAGTTTACCCTGATATATTATCTGAAGAGCTTGCTTGAAAACTGAAAAGCTTCCTTGAAAGTTCTCAGCAGGATTGATTTCGTATTTTGTCTAGCTTCGATGAGAAAAGGTTAGGGGATTGGTAATAATTTGGCAATGCATTTTTTGTGATATATGATTTTGAAACTGCCTTTATGTAACCATTTGTCTAGTCAATGGTACCACCCTTGGTTGTAATTGGTGTGCTCTTTTGCAGAGAACTAATCATGGATGCAACAACTAACTGCTGGTGATCAGTAAACCCATTGGTTGGTTGATAACATCTAAGGCAGAAACATCACTTTATATTTTAGCACCAAGCACTTATATAATTTAGATTGTTGTGGGTACAAAAAATGTTTCTTTAGGAGAAACAGAATCAAAGGTTCTGCTGTCTGTAGAAAAACAGTTCCAATAAGAAAACTGTCTGAATTTTGTGATTTTAGGTAGGGTGATTATTGGAGAGGGGCATTTTCTAGAGAGGGGGTTGTTTATTGGCAAAAATGCTTTCTTTCGAGACATTGTTTTTAATTCCAGCCACACTAAATCTGAAAAGAACAAAATCTTATCCATTGCTTAAAAAGCACTCCCCTTTATTTTTTGTTTTATTTCTTTAAAACATTAGAGCCAAGTTGAAAACAGTAGAGCCTGTATGCAGGCTACTTTATTTTAATCAATTTCAGTCAATAGATTCTCTCCCACCTTGGAATCTGACATTTCAAATGTATACTATTTTCTCTTTGTCATCACCAGATGTGATGGTTTTCAATTTTTCATAGCCTGCATTGCAAATCTTACTTCCCTTGCTGAAAGTAGGGGTCAACATTGGGTGTAGAATTCCACTGTTTTGTGCAATTTTTTCACAAAATCAGCTGTTTCGTTCAAAATTTTTGCCAAAATTATGCACCCAAAAGTTATTGATAGCTGTTGCTGACCAAAACTACCAAGATTTGACTAGGTCTTTTCTAAAGACAACAGGTAAAGAATTCTGAAAATCCATAAAATTTTGTAAAAATTCCATCATCCATGTATCATTATCAAGAAAATATGCATCTTGCAAGGATTGATAATTTCTTCATTTTGTCAATAAATTCCCAGAATTCCATAATCCATGACAAATTTTCTTTAAATTCCATTGTTCCGTAAACCCTGATGACCCCCATGAAACATAAAAGTTCTTAAACATCTGAATAGTTAATTGACAAGGGCAATGCAAAACATTGAAGTGATTTTATTATGATCTCTTTTTCTACATTGCTTAAAAAGACAAAATAAAGAAAAAGAATTGCCCTCTTTTGCAATATTTCTAATAATAGCCCTTGTTTTTTCGGAAAGTGAGCATTTATTTAACAAATTTGGTAATATGGTGGGCGTTTATTGGAGAAAGGCATTTAATAGGCAAATACAGTGACCTAGAATTGCATCTTTTTTCATCTTATGAAGTAGCAAAGCAGTTGTCAAATTCTAATATTCATAAAACCTCTGCTTTTGTCGCTATAGGTGACAACACTCAGAGACCTGTGAACCTATGACTTCCATTAGATTTTTTCTTAAAAAACAGGGAGATTTGGCCAAAATCAGGGAGATTCCCGGAATTTGTTGAATCCAGATGAAATAATAGAACTATTATTTCGTAAAAATTACAAACAATAAAATTACAAACAAAATTCATGCTGGACAAACAGTTAATGATAGTTAAAATATTATAGGAAACTTCTTCATAATGGCTTTTTCAAGTTTTTTATTAATTCGTAAAAAATAACACAAATGTTCTCATGAAGAACGCTATTGCAACCATTTCTTCATAAGAATACCTCTGCTGAATGACACAGAAGAAACAGGGAGAAAATCTTAAAGAATCAGGAGACCGGGAGAAAGCAACCAAAACTTTGGATCTCTCCTGGCCACTTCATTCATGGCCTAAATTTTTATATGCATTATATTGAGTTACTATAACCAGAATCTACTACAAGAAAACTGATTATTAAAAACCAGTTATACTTTACAAATTTGTATTACATAACATGGACAAAATGTTTAATTTCTGCGCCTTGAAAATTTTTAAAATACATAGGCTAGTTACCTTTGAGGAAACTACATATAGTGGGATTTGTAGAATTTTTATAAAGCCTCCAAATAATGTCTTTTAAGATGCTTACTAACAGAACTTACTTACCAAATGAAACTGTAATGGGTAAAGTGGATCATTGAAGTTTGGAGCAGAAATACTGCCCTAAAAATGGAACAAGAGCTCTTGTTAGTTATTCAATCTTTGATATACATTTTGCTCAAACAGTCTTTTAAGTTTTCTTGGAACAGAACATTGCTTATTTCTTGCAGTTCATGCTCCTGTCTTGGATGCAGGGCTTCCTTTTCTCCTGGGACATTGGATTTTCTGGTTCTATAAATAGCCAAATCATGTTATGCTTCTTGTGCTAACAAATAATTGAAAGCCTTAATGGGAAGTTGTTATCTGACAGATTTGGTCCGTATTATGCTACAATGAAAAAAATATCTTTTATTTTGACAATAAATTTCATCTTTTTTTCAGTTACCCAAGAGAGTCATAAAACATCAATATCCCTCTCCTTAAAGGGAACGGGAGCAATGAGAAGCATTCGAATAGGTTTGTCTACGGCCATCTGAAAATCTCAGACTCGAAGTAAGTGCTTCCAGCCCTATTTACTTTGACGACATTTGAAAGCTTCTAACACCAAAAAGTAAACAGAGCAGGTAAAAATTGCTTCCAACAAGTGTTAGGCCATCGATATCAATATTAGTGGTATGTTAGTAGAAAACCAAGGAAAAGCTCCCCAAAAATACAACTTTGAATTGCTTTTCTCTTTAAAAACAAATCACTCATTGCATAATTGTTATCATATCTTTCTTCGGGTAAAAGGAAACAAGGAAAGAAACTCAAACAGCTCTTGTGGTCTGGCCTCCTTCCTACAAGCAGAAGGGGTCAAAGGTGATATGCTAAAGGGCAATTTCCAAAGCAATTTTATAAAAATATGCAAAAGCAATTTTATAAAACTTTTTTGAGAAACTTATGCTTACCGAGAATACATTATTCCACTGGCAAACAAGAGTTAGGAAGAACACAACCTTCATGCTGAATGTGTTGCGGTCAAAATTGCTCCTCCGTAGATACCCCCAACTCGTCTCCGTGATGAAAGACAGGTTGCAAAATTTAATGATAAGTCACATCCTTTCTAAATGCGAAATTTTAGATGCTTTTAATTTAGACCGCATAACCTGAACAATAGCATGGTATACTTTTAAATGCACAAAATTAGTTACATCTCTCCAACGAAAATTAATGGTTGTGGCTAACGAAAATCCTGCATTATTCTAATGGATTGATAACGATCTTACTTGGCTTGCTACTTCAAAGAATCTTTTACTAAAACCGACAAAATAACGACGATTTGGTGGTAGGTAAAATGCCTGGCTTGAATGTCCATATCTCAATATATCAATAGCTTATGCCACTGCTTTTCAAAATTTTTCCAAAATAAATTTTATGACGCCGTCACTTAATCATTCTGTTGGGATCATAGAGATATTTTCTCAGTTCAAAGCAAGGTATGAAGTTCCTGGTTGGATTCAAAAGATATTCACTTTTTGATCATATCACTTAATTTGATTTTTTGCATGCCTGAAGTTTTAGTCCAGAAAAGGCTACTAGCTCAAACATTCAGCTGGGAAATAGGCTGTGAAATGTTGGCTCGTTTGGCCGGGGCTTCAATAGATTCTTTACGTGAATCAATTGATAATTCCCCGACATAAAATTTAATGGCGAGGACAGAGACTAAAACTTTCTTCTTTCCATTTAACTACTGTCTGGCCATATAACTAATCAACAGTGGCGTAGCTTGACCTTCCAGACTAAGGGGATGGAGGGTCATGAATAGCAAAATTTACCGACGAAGAAATAGATAGAGAGAAATTTAGGTTCTATTTCACCTACCGATAGACGATTTTACCGACAAACCAAGGGATTTTTCCACCAGCTAAAAGTTTACCGAAAAACTCATGCAGAATTGGGGGGTATCACACCCCCTACACCCTCCCTCGCTAGCTACGCCCCTGCCAACCAACTAACAACTTTGCCGAGAAACGCAATCTTTACTGACTAACGTATTTATGAATGACTAAGGGTGCCATTGGTTTCAGCATCCTCTGTCAGCCAGATGCGCCCTCGCAGAGAATCTCATTAATTTAAAGGCAATCTGTCTCGTTGTGGATTAGTTAACGAGAACAATAGCTGGAACAATAGCCTAAACACGATTCCAGCGCTCCGCCATATTTTTTACAATGCGATAAATTAAAGGGAGACTGGAAACAATAAATATCCCTTTGTTCTTATAACCAATCAACGTAGGTGGTTATCTAGGTTTTTTCACTTTAAAATAAGTTTTTCAAATATTTTGAGCTTTAGGTTGCAGAAGGTCTAAAAACTATTGGACTTTACCCTCACACTTACAGTTCGCCATTTTTTACTTTTATTTGGCTACAAAATCACTTTTTCTATAGGTACATCAAAGTAAATTTCCTTAGCAACCTTGTTATTTTTGGTTGCTATGGGGTTTTTTTCACTGTTGAGCCCCGAATTTTCGTTTTTAACCACGCAAATTTTGTCCTCCCATTTATTGAACTGAATTAAATTGGTGTTCTGTAATAGCTTTTACATGAAGTAGCAGGGAATATTTGGAGAGAGCTGAGGCACAGAATAGAACAGTCATTTCTATTCTGTGGCTGAGGTGGCATGACAACTTGTAGAATCGGTCGACAAATTAGAATGAAGATATAAATTTAATATTACCGATATTATTAAGTATGGTTGGAAGTAAAATACATGGAAGTACTGTGAAGAGCGAAGAACATTTACTGGAAATAGAAAGCAGAAATAATCAAGGAAGAAGAAGATGAGAGCAGGGATGAAACTAGGACATTTGACGTAGGCCCATCCACTTCGACCCCAGATAAACACTTGAGAAAGTAAACCGATATTCCAAAAGATCTCAAGACATTGTCAAATTCTTGAAAAAGATTAAAGCAAAGTTATAACAAGAAAAAGAGCAAGATCACTTGGATTAGAGTCTGTAACAATTAATAAAACCAAAGTTTGTTTCTGAACAATAATGTCATCAAGACGCACATGGCTTTAATCTCACAAGAGTCAATAAGTTACAGCATATGCTATCTCAAACTGCAATCTTTGGATCTTGTAAAAGCTCCAAAGGCAAGCTTATTATGTTAAAAGTTGATGGCAAGCAAGTTGGTTTGGATGAACCCCTTGTCCTTAAATGTACCAATCCATTGCCAAGGTAGTACTCTTTTTCATACAAGCCCAAGAATGTAAAATGCCATTTGAAAATCATCGAAAGTAAATGTCAGGTGTGTTTAAGCTGGTATTGAGACTGGTCTTTGGCTGACAAATATGCTAAAGCTTTGCACTGCTTTTAACCTTCCATTTCCACTTCCTCGTGCAACATATAATGACTTGGAGAAAAAGTGTGAGTGTTGTTGTTACTCAAATGAGGCTGATGCTTCACACCAAAAGGCGACACTTAATCTCAAGAACATTATAAAGAATAAAGCAAAAATAAAAAAGGACAAGATTACATGGCTGGTAGATTCAGCATCCACAATGTTCTCTAGACTGTCTTTACAAAAACAGAAAACAGAAAGAAGACCCAAAAGAACAAAATGACGTCAACTGATGATAATGGCATTACATTTGTCAATTTGTCAATGAACACAATATACCTCTGGTTGTGGAACATGACAAAAAAGAATCAAATAGTAGGACAGCCTGTTTTAATTTGTCCTCTGAGAAAGGAGGCACAATCTGATGCATACTGGCTATGATAAAAAGTTCTTTTCTGTCATTATGATAACATTTGTTGTAAAAAAGTTGTTTATAAACTTTCAAAGCCATTTTCGAATATTAGCCACCTTTGACTTTAAGAAAGGATATCTCTAAAACTATGTGAGATATTTAGCTCAAACTTTTTGTGATACATTATTTTCAGGTTGTTTTTAGAAAAAGCAGATAGAATTTTGATATCACTTGTTATCCATAATTTACCTGGAAAAAGGGCTATTTTGGGGTTTCCATGGCAACCATTGCCTGGAGGAGAAAACCCTCTGCTCATTCAAGTAACATCAACTTGGCAAGTTGTTTGGTATCTTTATGGTTAAATTACATCAAACTGTTTGTCTCAAATCTTTTCTCAAAGTGAAAATAGTGTTCCGACAAAGTGGTCTGTAAAATACAGACCGGTCGAATGATTTGAATTTTTTTTTGGAAAATTTCTTTCCAAGTTATAAATAAATATTTTTTGTAAGTTTCAGATCTGTGAGTCCTGTCATTGTTGAAATAATTACATTTATGTCTAGGAGACATGATTTGTGATCAAAACCTAGATAACCCCCTTAAAGATACCCAAAGTTTCGTCGAGAACCCTAGATTATCCTGATAAGACTCTACAACTGGACGAACAAATTCTAACCACTTATGATGAAAGATCTGGAGAAAATTTCTTCGGGTGCACAGAGTGAACTATGTAATCGTTTTTATTCGAAAAAAATATATCCCTCTTCAACTGAATCGAATTGACGTTGTAGTACGATCGTTTGCACATGCCCCAGCTGTAAAATCCCAGTCCAGTGTAAACACAAGCGAAAAGTTGTTATAATCAATTTGAACTAGTGTAAACATTTCTGGATAAATTTTGTAGGCACAGCGTAAACGGCCTAAAACTCAAGCATAATAGAAAATAGATCTCCTAACAACGTCTTATTTTTATCAGCAAGGCTTTGATTGGGAGATATTTCCATAAGCTCTTCTTTGGATATATTTTTTATTTTTTTAGCTGATTTTCTTCTTAGTAAAAAACGATACCTCAGATAGACCTCAGACCTCAGATATAAGATACGATAAAGGTGGTTCTTCACTTAGAAGTCGCTAGGTATTAACTTGCGCTTTCAGGCAGACCGGAGCCAAGAGGAGGGGGCTGGGTGAGCTATAGCCCCCTCACTTTTTCACTAAAGTATTATATCAAGGTTATCAAAGATAATGGTGGCAAACTATGCAATGAGCTCGCCCCCCAATTTTCTAGAGCCCCTTCCTCCATTCTAAAATGTGCTCAGGCGTTCCTGTCCCTTGGTGAGAATCAATAAATGGTATCGTGCATCACCTCCCTTTAACCCAAATTATCATGAAACAGAATACAGTTTTTAAGAAAACAATTAAAAAAACATACTTTTTAAATTAGAATTTAATTGATTTCAAATATGGAGATCTTCTGCTGAGTTCAGAGTTTGCATAGCTGTTAACAAATAACAAACAAAGAGTTCAACCCTTAAGCGGGGAAAAATAAAAAAAATTGTTTATTATCAGAAGGCAGAAAGAAAGGTAGGATAGTTGGATAATCTATCAGGTAGTATAAAATTATCCTGAAATATGTAAAGTTAATGTTTGTCTGACTTTCGTGAGACTTTACGGTTGTAAACCTTTTGGCCTTTTAAAAGGTTTTCTGATTCCATCAGCCAATTGAGTGTGAAAGTTTCAGTTGCAACTTGGAAATGCCTCGTTAAATATTATGGATAAACATAACTCATATAGGCGAAATTATAAATATCACCGATTGATTAAATCTTATTTTGAACAAACTTTGAGCTAGAGCTTTGAATGATATAAACAAATACTTTTTCGTTGTTTTCATTTCAGGTGAGACAAAATGAAGTCATTGATTCTTCTGTGTGTGATTGTTGCTGCCTCGGTTAGTGCAATATTCATTAAAATTATAATGTATTTCCAACTAACAGTAGCAACAATAACTCTAGATGTTAATTGTTTTTTAAAATTGTTTCTAAGAATACTCATTATCAAGTCTCAGAAAAGTCAAATTGCCTCCGGCTTATCACAGTGGTGTTGATTATCCTCAACAGGGACGAATATAGAGGGGGTGTATGGGGTGCGACTAGCCCCCCAAATAAATATGTGTCCTTCTAAAAATAGTTACTTTCATTTGGTAAAAATCGTTATTTGGTAATCAGTAGTAACAAAATAACGACGCCAAGATTTTGCCTTATTTAGTTCTTATCGTCTTTGCCTTGAAGTTAAAAGCCAAAATTTGAAAATTGGTGTTTCCATCATTTCCAGTGACCTGAAGGGTGTGGCACCAAAATCAAATAAGTGTCTATCAACTCCCAATCATTGTTGTTTAAATCCGTTCCTGATTCTCAAAAATACGAAGTAACAATCATTAATGAAATGTATTGCCTTCCCGTCTATAAAAAGTGCTCAATGCTGTATAAGCAAAACCTTACACGCTTTCGTTGTAAAGAGCAGGAATTTCTAACTTGCAACTCTGAATTTCATAGCTCAAGGCACTATGTCTTGACGCATCTCTTTGGCATCCCATTGGTTTGACTAAACGATAGACCTATTGTTACGTAGCCAATCAGCTAATTCTCAATATTTTCTCAATCAAAAACACGCTACAGTGCCTGTTGGTAACCCTGACTGGTTGACTGGCAAGACATAGTACCCTTGAGTTGATTATCAGGCTACTATTGATGCTAGATGCTATCATCAGGCAAATAGTTCAATAAAAGTTTTCCATGAATATGTAGTAAACTGCTTGAAAGAAATTCTTTTGATTAGCTGGTCTCCATTTTACATTTTACAGGCAGAGGACTTTCACATGAACCTTACAGAAAATGGAGAGACCTTCACTCAAGATATAATAGTTGATGTCCAGGGAAACACAGAAGAGATCAAAGTTCCTCGTCATCAAGATGCACCAGCTGTCAACGTTTTAAATGATTTCAACATTGTGAGATTTAATTATTTCTACAGAAATAGAACAAAAGTCAAATGCAATAAGTAATACAAAATTTCCGACAAAGACAATTGTTTCGCTCTCCTTCTCCAAAATAAAAGTAATAATAATCGACAATTATTGTTTTTATAGTGTCAAGTAATCTTCACAATGATGTCATATTTTTCTATGCTTATGAGAATTAGCCCTATTGGTTCCTTATACGATGTATGCATTATTATTGTAGGGACTGAGCGCCGTAAAATTGTCGAACTCAAGAAGGTGCTTTATTTCAAAGATCCATGCTTCAGAACAAAGACCGGCAGAATTGAAACAAAGCATGGCAACGGTAAAGCATGGTTTTCTTGAAATAAATAGCCTCTTCTTGCAAATGATGCTTGTAAAGCTAGAATAAGACCATTCTTCATATACACAACAAATTGAAAGGGCATTTTTTCTATCAAAGCCAGAGATGTCAAAAGCCTCGAAATTTTTTTTTATTAAAACGTTCAAGGCCAAAGTCATCTAATGTATTTAAAAGCTGGAAAGGAGCAGGTCTTGCCAAAAGGCCTGGACAAAGCAAAAAACCGTTAAGAAACGCTTGATTTATTAACAGGTGCGTTCACAATTTCCAAGAGAGAGGTATATGGTTGAAACTTTCAATGTACTGACTGTAAGGAAGATGGTGAAAGATGAAGTTGGTGAGAAGATCGCTGGTTTCTGCAATGGCTATGATCTCTTCTATACAATGCGCTTTAACAAAGAGAATATTGAAGAGGAAGTTATCAAGATGATCAAAAGTAATATCAAACATTCATCAGCATTTGAAAAATTGCTAGATTCTTATAGCACGTTAATCAACAAAAACATTTTTCGTTTGTCAGACGCTTGAAAGAGAATCTGACAAAGAAAATCTGACAAAAAGTATCAAGTATTTTTCTTACTTTAGAAAGTTAACTAGGCCTGTATCTGTCAATTTTCTACTTTTAGCAGTTGTCTTGTATCGGTCAGTTTTTTGTCCCTAGTAAGTTACCTTACTTTGTATCAGTCAGTTTTCTGTATTTAGTTAGTTAGCTGAATTTGTATCGGGCAGTTTTCTATCTTTAATAGTTAAGTTTCTTATGTCAGTCAGTTTTTTACCATTAGTGAGTTAGCTGACATTGTGTCGGTCAGTGTTTGTCATTAGTGGGTTAGCTGACATTGTATCGGTCAGTTTTTTGCCTTTAGTAGGTTAGCTGACATTGTATCGGTCAGTGTTTGTCATTAGTGGGTTAGCTGACTTTGTATCGTTCAGATTTTGCCATTAATGGGTTAGCTGACATTGTATCGGTCAGTGTTTGTCATTAGTGGGTTAGCTGACATTGTGTCGGTCAGTGTTTGTCATTAGTGGGTTAGCTGACTTTGTATCGGTCAGTTTTTTGCCATTAGTGGGTTAGCTGACATTGTGTCGGTCAGTGTTTGTCATTAGTGGGTTAGCTGACTTTGTATCGGTCAGTTTTTTGCCATTAGTGGGTTAGCTGACAGTTTTTTGCCATTAGTGGGTTAGCTGACTTTGTATCGGTCAGTGTTTGTCATTAGTGGGTTAGCTGACTTTGTATCGGTCAGTTTTTTGCCATTAGTGGGTTAGCTGACTTTGTATCGGTCAGTTTTTTGCCATTAGTGGGTTAGCTGACTTTGTATCGGTCAGTGTTTGTCATTAGTGGGTTAGCTGACTTTGTATCGGTCAGTGTTTGTCATTAGTGGGTTAGCTGACTTTTTATCATCCAGTCTTCTGTCTTCAAATTATTAGCTGTTTTTGTATCTGTCAGTTTCTGTCATTGGTAGGTTAATTGTCAAATCTTTTATCTGTTTCTTGACTTTGTGGATCACTTTTGCTAGGTGTTTTTCATGACAGCCTGCATTGTTGATTTATTGACCTTTCTTTCTACAGGTGCGAGAGACAAAAGTGGTCAAGTAAGACAAAGAAGAGATTTAGGGATAACTTCTTTCACTTCCTGCAGTGATGACAGTTTCAATGTGCTTATGAGATGTCCTGGTCATAAGATTGGGGCACGATGCAATTTCTTCAGGAGTGATCAGCGTTATTGGACATACAGTGTAAGCTGTAAAAGTACACCCTCTGCGTTTCTTTGCGCAGGAAACCATCGAGCAAACTTATTGAAGTGCTGCGATTTTTATTGTTCATGTTGAAATATCTACAAATAAAGACGTATCAAGCACAAGTGAACAATATCATGTACAATTGCTTAGTCATATTTAATGTTAAGAACTACGAGAAATTGTTTCTTTTGTTTGTATCCCTACTAAACTGAACAAAATTTTGTTGTATCTCTCAGATACTATCTCTACTAAAATTCAAACATAGATTCATATAATTTTGTAACATATTCACAACTAATTGAAACTATTAGAATTGATGATTTGTTAATGAAAGATATAATGTTTAAAATTTATAAACCCGATCTGTTCTATTAAGATTATGTTTACAAAAAAACGGTGGAATTCAGAATACTATTCTCTATATTAAGAATATATTAATAAATTTTAAAATAGTCAAGTAGTTTAAAGAATAACTTTAAGCTTGGTCATTTTATCTTTCATTGAAGTTAACAATACAATGGCAAGACATCTACGTCACTTTCAAGCCAAAGTTTATAAATGTATCTTTTAGGGGTAAAAAGTGGACCTGTGTGTTTCTTCGAACAATTATTGCCCCTTTCGATGACATAGAAGCCTTAAATATACAGTCAACAGGGCCCACGCAAAAGGGGGGCCAGGGGGTATGACAACCCCACATTTTTGCTAGATAAAAAATTGAAATCAGCTCAAATTGTCTAAAAAGATTAACCTGTAGGTTACAACAAATACATTGAACCAAAACCGACAAGTAAACGAGCTTCAGCACGATGTTTTCCAAAACAGGGGGTAAGCGGTGACTCTCTTTACATCGCCAATAAATTTTTAAGTCATCAGTGACTGTGAAGCATGCCTTGAGGTACCCTGGACGCCAGAGTCTCCATTATTTAGTCTCAAAAAAATTTTTTGAGCGATCCACTCCAGGGGCTATTCTAAGAACAATTTACGTCACCACAAGTTCAATCATTGGTAATTTTGTTGTTAAACTTTTTAATTCTACTGTTGAGAACAGACAAAACAGCGGTAGCATTAAAGCCACTGAACACAAAAAAAAGTTTCAGTGTTGGCATTGGCGTTGTAGACGGTCAATGTTTGGGATATGGAGGATGATGTATTTCACCCTGTTAATTCAAGAATAAAATTAAGAACAATCCAGCCTCAGATTTTCGAGAAAATCAAGAACAGCCAGCCTGAACTTAAAGTTACTGGCTCTTATAAAAAAGAGTGTATTGGGTTATGCCGCTCAACATCAATAAATATGTATATTCCTATCTTATGCAAGCATTGGCTATGATGCTAGCTGAAGTGCCATACTCGTGGGATGTTAGGAGGCTAATGAGTGCATGCAATATTATGAAAACATCCAAGGTAACTGGAATCATTGTTATATCATTATCTGTACCACACAAAATCTGTACCTACATGTGCATTTTTATTTGCCAGTGCTAATGTGGAGCCGTTATCCCCGATGAGGTTTAATTGCGGGGATAACGGCTCCTTGGAGTAAAATTACGGGAATGTGCCTTTTGCAAAAATTGTTTTGACCCTGTCCTGGAAAATATTTTTGCAAACATGAAACCTATCCTGGAATAAGAGCTTTAATTCAAACTTTGAGCTATAGAGTGAACAACGCTTTAATTTAACTCTGACCTGTTCTGGAAAAAATATCTATGATGGGCATACCTCTGTAAGAAAAAAAGAGACAAAAAAATAACCCTGTCCCAGAATTTTCAGTGGTTAATGAGACTCTGTTGGCAAAAACATCCCCGGGTAGTCAATGTATTACGTAATAACATTTACAGTAAAATTGGGACTGGGACCGAGAGTAGAGGCCATGTTAGTTTTTCGTTATCGTGTTGTGTTATCTTTAGAAACTGAGGAGTAGTGGAACTTTTCATGTTTATACTTAAGTGACGGTGTGCCTTGACAATTTCGTTACATCTAGTGTGGCACGATTGTTACTATCCATATTTGGTAGAGCCAATTATTCTGTGGTTAACAAAAGGCAAACAATAAGCAAATCCAACATGGCGTACTACTAAATTAACAGCGGAGAGGGGGCGTGGTAGATAGACGCTGGAGCGAAGAGGAATTGTTAGACAGAAAGGACCATATCGGGATACTTAGAACAGTCCATTATTTTCCAAAAATTCAAATTTGGAAATCTGACCGTGGCACGTGCCACCGGTGCCACCGTCTGAATCCGCCCCTGAGTGTAAGCTGTAAAAGTACATCCTCTGCGTTTCTTTGCGCGGGAAACCATCGAGCAAACTTATTGAAGTGCTGCGATTTTTATTGTTCATGTTGAAATATCTACAAATAAAGACGTATCAAGCACAAGTGAACAATATCATGTACAATTGCTTAGTCATATTTAATGTTAAGAACTACGAGAAATTGTTTCTTTTGTTTGTATCTCTCAGATACTATCTCTACTAAAATTCAAACATAGATTCATATAATTTTGTAACATATTCACAACTAATTGAAACTATTAGAATTGATGATTTGTTAATGAAAGATATAATGTTTAAAATTTATAAACCCGATCTGTTCTATTAAGATTATGTTTACAAAAAAACGGTGGAATTCAGAATACTATTCTCTATATTAAGAATATATTAATAAATTTTGAAATAGTCAAGTAGTTTAAAGAATAACTTTAAGCTTGGTCATTTTATCTTTCATTGAAGTTGACAATACAATGGCAAGACATCTACGTCACTTTCAAGCCAAAGTTTATAAATGTATCTTTTAGGGGTAAAAAGTGGACCTGTGTGTTTCTTCGAACAATTATTGCCCCTTTCGATGACATAGAAGCCTTAAATATACAGTCCACAGGGCCCACGCAAAAGGGGGGCCAGGGGGTATGACAACCCCACATTTTTGCTAGATAAAAAATTGAAATCAGCTCAAATTGTCTAAAAAGATTAACCTGTATGTTACAACAAATACGATTGAACCAAAACCGACAAGTGAACGAGCTTCAGCACGATGTTTGCCAAAACAGGGGGTAAGCGGTGACTCTCTTTACATCGCCAACGAATTTTAAGTCATCAGTGACTGTGAAGCATGCCTTGAGGCACCCTGGACGCCAGAGTCTCCATTATTTAGTCTCAAAAAAAATTTTTTGAGCGATTCACTCCAGGGGCTATTCTTAGAAAAATCTACGACACCACAAGTTCAATCACTGGTAATTTTGTTGTTAAACTTTTTAACTCTACTGTTGAGAACAGACAAAACAGCGGTAGCATTAAAGCCACTGAACACAAAAAAAAGTTTCAGTGTTGGCATTGGCGTTGTAGACGGTCAATGTTTGGGATATGGAGGATGGTGTATTTTACCAAATAAGAAAGCAAATGCTCAAAGAGCAGTAAAACGTGGCCTGAATAACAAGACACAACCCCTAGAATCTATGCATAAGAGTGATAGGAAATTGAGAAAAACTAAAAACCCTGTTAAACAAATAAACAGACAGCCAGGACACCCATTGCAAAGTGCACGATGGAAAATGCTTGGGTCTAGAAGTTACAGAACTGGCATTACAGCATCAAGGTCTGGTCAATTCTATGAGGCCGCAATGAAAAATATGAAAGTGGCATACACACTTTTCTTATAAGAACACGAGCCTCAAAATTTGTCAAGAAAGAACAAATTACGAACAATCTGAGGCTGAGATTCTGTAAAATGCAACTTTGAACAACGTTTTTTCTCAAAAACAAGGATTTTTAGCAATATATGGGTGTTTTTTTTAATTATTCAAACTTGTCGGCAAATAAAGGTTCAATCATGTTGTTGGCAAATGAGGCTTGAATACCTCCTCAGAGTGTAAAAGCTAGCAATCACCCTGTTAATTTAAGAATAATATTAAGAACAATCCAGCCTCAGATTTTCGAGAAAATCAAGAACAGCCAGCCTGAACTTAAATTTACTGGCTCTTATAAAAAAAAGAGTATATTGGGTTATGCCGCTCAACATCAATGAATATGTATATTCCTATCTTATGCAAGCATTGGCTATGGTGCTAGCTGAAGTGCCACACTCGTGGGATGTTAGGAGGCTAATGAGTGCATGCAATATTATGAAAACATCCAAGGTAACTGGAATCATTGTTATATCATTATCTGTACCACGCAAAATCTGTACCTACATGTGCATTTTTATTTGCCAGTGCTAATGTGGAACCGTTATCCCCGATGGGGTTTACCTTGGAGTAAAATTACGGGGATGTGCCTTTTGCAAAAATTGTTTTGACCCTGTCCTGGAAAATATTTTTGCAAACATGAAACCTATCCTGGAATAAGAGCTTTAATTCAAACTTTGAGCTATAGAGTGAACAACGCTTTAATTTAACTCTGACCTGTTCTGGAAAAAATATCTATGATGGGCATACCTCTGTAAGAAAAAAAGAGACAAAAAAATAACCCTGTCCCAGAATTTTCAGTGGTTAATGAGACTCTGTTGGCAAAAACATCCCCGGGTAGTCAATGTATTACGTAATAACATTTACAGTAAAATTGGGACTGGGACCGAGAGTAGAGGCCATGTTAGTTTTTCGTTATCGAGTGTTGTGTTATACTTAAGTGACGGTGTGCCTTGACAATTTCGTTACATCTGGCGACCCTGCAATCGATTAGGTATTACGTAATCCCCGCGAGCGCGCATCCAAATGTCATTTTTATTCTGTGATGGATGGTTGAAATCGAAAGAGATAAGGCATTGGTTTCAAGGGGTGTACACGGACGCATGAAGCGTCACCTTAGGCGAGCTACACGAAAAAATGAACAGCCAAGATCAAAAGTCAAAAGTTTTAAGATTAAGGACTGGCTGACTAATTACTATAATTCTTCTGTTGTGTTAAGTTTTTGTATTGATTTTAAATTCTTGCAGCTTTTCCAAGCGATTCCTTATATTTTGCGAAAACTTTTTTCCGGAGGGTCGACTATTTTACAACACCACAAAATTAAAATCACAACACCACAAATCAAATTTACAATACCACAAAACGGTAACAAAACCACGTTAGAATTACCCCTGATTCCACTCACTTTTTGTCGTCGCAGCCGTCTACAATACTTGAGGCTCTGGTACTCATCGTACCTTTGAAATTACAGGGGCTACAAAAGTAAACAGATTTCCAATTTCCACTTTACATCTATATAACGAGAGTCTGGTATCCAGGGTACCTCTCCCTGAACAAGAACAGTAGAGTTCACCTTCTGTTTTACTGTGTTTTGGGGGGTCTTTTCTTTAAGTGCCATTATATTTAAAGAGGCTCCTACGCCACTGCCTAACGTACATAATCTTTTTAACACTATACTGTTCAATGTTTAATGAGTCATCGGGAACAGCAACTTTCTCAATTAGGCGTCATAAATAAGAGAATGAATGAACAGGACCCAGGCTCCATTCACCATAGGTCGTTTTCCATTTATGTCATATCAGATAAAAAGAGTTATCTCTTCTTATGTAGCTATGAGTTCAATTTGTCCGTAGTTTGAAATATCAAGTATGGGAACATATCAAAGATAGAATTGAGGCTATGTTAGTATTAAAAAGCTTCCACTGTTAGTAAAGGTTTCTCTCTAAAGTTTCAATTGAAGGGGGGGGGGGCTCGAGCCCCTAAACGTAAACTTAGCTTCATGGGCTTAGCGGATTTAAAGCGTTTAAGGGGGTGGGGGTGGATAATACTAATTGTTCATTGAGATGAACTGCCAGAATGGATCTTAAAATGGATAAATTTTAGCTGCTAAGGGGGGAGGGGGTTACTGAAGCCCTCCAAGCCTCCACGCATTCTACGTTTTTGCCTAGTTTGCACCTAGATATTCTGTAGAATATTATATGATAGTTGTGGATACTGGCTTCTTCTTGGAATTGAGATTTGTGGGGAACTTTGCCTGTTTGATGATAGTGGGAATATTTTTGTAACTAGAGTATGTGTTGTGGTAACCATAATGCATAAAATTACGCTATCATATTTCTCAGCTAAATACATACCTGATGCTTTTTAATTATGTTCGTTGCACTAGTACTTAGCATTATTTTTTTCAATTTCCTTATGCAAATACTTCATTTATTTAGCTGTTATTGTTATCAAACCTTTGAATTTTCTGAAAAAATTATTTTTTTGCATTGTTGAAGGGCTCAACCATTCAAAAACACTTCAAAGTTTACTTTAAAAACACTTCAAGACCTGACTAATGGGCAACAGCTCCAAAAAAAGTCATTGTCCTGACACCTTATTTGATGGTATTTTTACAGTTAGTGTTCTAAAGTACGATATCATTCTTGCAAATCGTCTTCTTTCAGCGTTTTTTATAAACATAACATTTGACATTGCCTTTAACACAGTATGCAAATATTTTCTTCATCTAAAATGCGTATACCATTTCAGCAACCACTATGAAGATGCAGCTTCTCGTGTTCTTTATTGTGATGGCATCGGTAAGTATGTTTCATGAATCATCTTTAGGCTTATGAGCGAAAAAGATGATGTTTTATTGCTCTAGCTACTTAAAATGTATGGCACAGAAATTTGAAACCTATGTCACCAAACTTCCATAACAGCACAAGGAGCGTGACGTTTCATCGTCGCCATGTGACTAGAGAAATAATGGACATTCCTCTGGATTATATAACCTGACTGGTTGTAATATATATAAATATATATATTGTACAGTTGAAAAGACGTGTACACTAGTAAAAATGCAAATTTTGCCGACTAGTTTCGACTTTCTGTCGTATTCATGGCAATCAACTGTCGTATTATAAATATATATAAAACCATACTGTGAAAAAGTGGTGGCGTGGTGTGAAAGTTTTTGTGTTTGTGTAGATTGTGTATTATCTTAACCGATCTCGCATTTTTCTTAAAGGCTGAAGTACTCAGTATGAAACTGGAAGGAAATAAAGCCAAAAACACCGCCGATATAATGTCTGATCTTGGTACCAATACACACCAGTTTGATGCCCCGAATCATCGCAATAAGGCTCAAGGGCGATTCTTGAAAGATTTTAGCATGGTATGATTTGGTTATTTTGAGAAATGAGCAGGAAGTTTTGGCAATTTTTTTAAAGAGAGTTAATTTTACGATACTGTTATAAAAACGATACTGATAATTTTCTTGACTTTGCGAATCTCTTAATAGTGTGTCATGAAGAACGTGTGACAAGCGAAATATCATCTTCTAATTAACAGGCATATAAATGATACACTGGTTTAATTTTCAAATTGAAAAGTTATTTAGAGTGATTGACGATAAAGGGCGTTTACGGACAGGACTAGAATGGCAGAAGAAGAAACCTGCCCGTGGATGACAAAAGCACGCTAGTCTCCAAGCTGGGTTCAACACAGCGTTTTCTTTATGATAAACAGCCATTGTGTAGCAGAGGTGGTGCCAGAAATCTTCCGACAGAAGGATTGGAGCTCCCGACATGGGGGGTTAAAATGAATATAATATGCAGATTTCGTACGTTATTTTGTCAAATTTGCTCCGACAATAACCTAAAATTTCCTCCGATGAGGGGGGCTAAATGCTTACGACGGAGGGGCTGTAGCCCCCTAGCCCTTCACTGGCGCCACCACTGTTGTGTAGGCCTTAAAAAGTTGTCCTGATCAAGAAGTTCGCTAGTCCAGAACGTATGTTCAGCACATTTGGTCATTCTTAAGGGAAAGTACCAAGAAAAATTGTTTTTGCAGGGGCTGGCAGCAGTAAAAGATCCAGCAGCAAAAGAGTGCTATATTGCAGCATTGCAGAGCCCAGACGAAACTGTGCATGATCTGAAAAAAAGCATGGGAATGGTAATTTCTTTTCTATTAAAGGGTGAATTATGAATGGAGTGAGCCATGTAAAATTAATTGACTTGATTCTTCTTTTAATGGAAGTCTGAATACTATGCTGAAATTTTGTTTCCAGTTCTACTCGAGGTATTCTGGCGAAGAGCAAACAGACGAAGAGAAAAGGCCCCTGTTTATAAGAAAGATGACAAACATTGAAGTTGGGAAAAAGATTGCAGCCTTTTGTGCAGGATACGAACTCATCTTAGCCACAATTCCTGTTTCAATGAACTCCTATCTTCAAAAACAAGGTTAGTAAGATTCTAAAAGAGCAGGGGATGGGAATTATTGTCTATTTCAAATCTTTTAAAAGATAATTATTTCTGTGCAAAGCCTATCATGGACTGAGACAATAGGGGTGACTGGGGGGAGTGGGGCTTAAATGTTTTTCGAAACTGTACTCAAAATTATACATAAACTATATCATTGCTACCAGGCTTATGCATGTTTAGACGTCTCCCCCACCCCACCCCCACCCCCAAGAAAAACTTCCCTACATCTTCCACAACAAAGCCATTACACCAACAATCTATCACATCTTTCAAAAGGATTGTAATGTTTTCCCGTTTTTCTTCCATTTGCAACTTGTAAGAACATTTCAAGCTTCTGATTTTAACAAAAATTCTTTCTTGGGTTTTGAAAAAAATTGAATATTATAAACTAAAATTAATTCCAGATCGTGTTGTCTATTCTGTCTTACCAGTGCTCGACGTGCATTAGAACAGCAGAAGATTGCCATAGCAATTGATATAATAGAAGATAGGCTAAAAATAAGACATGTTCTCTATTACTCCGAGTTTCGGGCTTGCGCACTCATCCGACAGACTATGATGATAAATATCCCTGCTACCACGGTATAAATGTACAAAAGGAGTGATAAATTTTAACAAAGAAAATGCTGTTAGATAGAGGTTTATCAGTCAGGTAGAGCTATATTTTTAATGAGATAAAAGATGTTATGACTTACAATGGACTATCATCACCTCAGTCAGAACATACAACAACTTTTCAAAAAGGTGTGACCTATGCTTAACAGAAAAACTATATGTCATCAAAGCAAATAACAACACTCTCCTAAACAAAAGATCCGAATTAATCTCCAAATGCAGAACACGAAAGAAAGTATTTTTACCTCTTTTCAAATGATACCAAATGTCTTTACAGATTGTTACTTAAGACAAAAAATATCATTTGATAAAAATTTGCTGTCATGTAAAAAAACTCATTCTTCCAAAAAATAACATTATAGAGAAAACCTATTTACGAGCGGTTTCTGAAATAGGTCAATCGCTTGAATGTCTTTTTTCTTGTTCCTTTTCTTGTTCAATATCTTCTCACTCGATAAATTCTTCTCCTTTTTCTTATTCTTCTTCTTCTGCTTCTTCTTCCACTCTCGATCTTCCTCTTCTCGATCTTCATTTTCTTTTTCTTATTTTATTTCTTTTTTCTGCTTTCCTTTTCTGCTTTATCTTTTTTTCTAGTATTTTATCTTCTTCTTCTTTTTCTTCATCATCATCATCATCTTCTTATTCTTCTCGATCTTCATCTTCTTTTTCTTATTATATTTCTTCTTTCTGCTTTCCTTTTTTGCTTTATCTTTTTCTAGTATTTTATCTTCTTCTTCTTTTTCTTCATCATCATCATCATCATCTTCTTCTTCTTATTCTTCATCATCATCATCATCTTCATAATCTTCTCTTTCAACTTCTTCTTCTTCCTTTTCTTGGTTGTTCTTCTGTTCTTTCCTTTTTTCTACTTCTCTTTTTTATTCTTCTCCTCTTCCTTTTCTCTTTCTTACTTACTCATTTTGCTTCTTCTTTGCATATAAGGTCCTTCAAGCTTCTAAATTCATGTTAAGAATTTGCTTCGTTACACTAGCTGTTACATTTTCATCGATGAAAAAGCAGGTTCATTTAAATTCCATAGGGAAAAGAAAAAGGGGGATCATCAGCAGTTTCTGGGGATGCAACATTGATAGCAATTATGTGCCAATTCTTTGTCGCAGAAAAAGTGGTACACTTGCTACCAGATGTCGATTCTGGAAAGATCAAAGTAAAGATTGTACGTATGAGATCACTTGCAATGCGGTCACCACGAATGGGAAAAGTGGAGCAGATTGTCCAGGCGTGAATGACTTTAGATTCATGGAATGTTGTGATTTTATTTGCTTATAAACTAATATACCTTGAAAGTAAATAGATAGAAAAGATACAACAGATGATATGAAGCTAATAAAAAATTTTCTTAATGCAAATGGTGTTCTCTTTTTGCAGCATTTTCTCTTTTTAACGTAATCTTATTACAATAATCCTGTTGAGAATGTTACCAATAGAGTCCTAAGGTGAAAACGAACTCCTTCTGTCTACACAATAGCGGTTTTTCGTGTTTTTGTAGATAGATTCCAAAACTGGTAGATGTAACGAAGATCCGGTTTTAACAATAATCCGAAAAATGTCACCATTGTAGTTTTTTGCACAATCTGGGTTTTCTAGTAAATGCTGCGCAATAACAGAATTGCATGCTTTAAATGTAATCCTAGATTTGCAAAACAAAGGTTACTGTTTTTGTTGGGGATGAATTTTGTTTTTAATACTAGAAGGAACATGCTGTTTTACCCTATTCCCTAATTTTTGGGTAGTGCGTCCTACTGAAGGAAATCGATTATGTCACGTGATTAGTGACATCCAATTCAACGCATCAAAAAAAAAGATTTTTCATAAGTTGAGAAACGATACAAGATGATGGACGCTTAACGCTCTAAATCATTACGCTCATAGAATATTCAATTTCTATGTAAATTGCATCGCGTCGAGTATTCTTTTCGCATGTTAATAAAATGGAACATTCCCTATATTTTTTCGCCCTTATTCTTTGTTGTATTTAATAAAACAAGAACCAGGAACCTCTCTGGAGTTTCACCTCTATTCGAGAGACGAAACGTTAATACAGCGCAGGATCATTCACTTGATCCCCAACACCTACGTAGCCAGAAGCACACTTGACATTTAAATTCATAAGCAATGGAACTTATTTTGGTGGTAGGAAGGCAATCTTTTTAAAAGAATGGAAGGACTTTCCTAGCGCTGTAAACGATACGGGGATTGACAGCATTGAAACATTTAGTGATGGCTAGTTTAATCTGACTTTCGAAACGCGAGTAAGTCTTACAAATTCCTTGGTAAGATAAACTTGGCACTTTTCCGGATCAAACTTTTGAACAGCCGAAAAAACTTGCAATCGTTTGCCTAGTATAAGAAAAAATGACATCTGGTTAACAGAACCATATGGCAACCAATCTAGAAAAAATTTCAGGCCACTATTTAGGGCTTTAGCGGGGGGGGGGGAGGCAATAACCCGTCCTCTATACTTTGGTTCCCTCTTAACAATTCCCTTAACGGATAAATACAATTATTTAAAATTAGTATTGACTGAAGTTTGAATCTTTTATTGCAAAATGAGAATTGAAAATCATGTGCATTCTCGCGAGTTGCCCTATTCTGGATCAAAAAAGGGTAAGATCATTCACACAAGTTATGTCCGAATTAAATTTTCGCTTTGTTATCTTGCTGTTCCACGGGAAGAAAGAAACCCAAAATATCTGATACTTCATAAGGTTGCAAGCCCAACAGCAATATTAAAGACTGCTTGAAGGCTTAAATGGACAAAATTGCACCAGGCACCGCGCAGCCATTGGGCTAGCAAGGGCTATAGCCCACCCACTTTTTTGCAAATATAGGCTAGAAGATTTTTTTGAAGGTTTACTCTAACGCAACTTTGGATAGTTTACTCCTATGAAGTAGCAGTTTTCATTGACCGGGAACCATTTTTGTTCGTTTTCTAGGTGTTTCATCTTGTTTAATGATATGATATATTTTCTAACTTAGTTAGCTTGGTTTTTTATTACCCTCGAGCTAATTCTATCTATTTTTATGGTTATTGATTTCTTCTCTGAACCAGACTCTTTATAAACGTTCAATAGAAATAAGCAAGTATTTTCTAAAAGAGGCGTTTTCTGGCGTTCAAGAGGGCGTGACCTCAAAAATTTTCCGGTCACACCCATTTTAGCCCCTCCACTTTTTGAGCGGTGCGCGGTCCCTGAATTGCACACTCAAGATTTGCAGTTGAAAATAAAACAAGATTTGAGGTCTCAAAAATTGATTTTGGCGTTTTTGCAATTTCATATTGATAGTGTGTTTGAATAAGTTTACTTCGATAAATTGTAGTCAATTGTTGGGGAGACGAAACAGTGCTTGTTCAAAGGTCAGCTGCCATTCAAAATTTTTCATCAAATGCGCAGTTGAAATTGATGACGTTTCTTCACATCACAAAATGTATTTAACAGTTGTGGCTCTCATGGAAATAAGCCAATACCACGAGAAATAAGGCACCTTCTTGAATAAACAAAGTTGATTAAAGTTTTCAGCTATCAAAACATTGAGTCAACATTATTTGGAGAAACGCTTCAAGGAACGAAATCTTTTTTCAATTAACAAAAGGGAGACATTTACAGCAACTTGTGAAAATAAATTTTTTATCATTGCAGAAATACCCCTCCTGTTAGCTGGCTCTTAAACGGTTGAATACTCAAAACTAAATTAGTCATTTTGATTATGAAGAATGAATACAGTCAAGGTTTGAAACAGCCAGCTCTGCAGGATCTGACAAAAAACATAAAATGCACAGTTTCAGAGAACCAGAAACATCAATCCAAAAGTCCCAACAAATAAGTAATTAGAAGTCGATACAAAAGCAAATTAAGGCAGATCGTTTCCAATTTTCAACAAGCAAGTTTCCCAAATAAATTAGCTATGAAATAACCTTGAAGTGGCTTGCCTTAGTGCCTAAATTTTGTTGTCTTGGGGGTTGTTGTAAAAACGATTTCATATCTGGTGCAATGAGCAGCAATCTTTTTTCCAACTTCTTCTTCTGTTATCTTTTTGGTAACCAGGTGTCGTCTTCGATGAATCATGTACACTCATTTTTTTATAAGAAACAAAGGTCGATGTTGAGTACTCCAGTTTCCTAATGTTCTGAAAATTTCAATACTCATTGTTTCTTAAGAGTTTCTTAATTATGATGTCATGAATGATGTTATGAAATGTCCATGACCTTTTTATCTCGGTGTGTTAAATCAGAGCATAAAATATGTAATTACAGTATAATTATTAAAACATAAAAATTTCTAAAAATCCTGTCTACGACTAAACTACAGTCTGCAATCAAAAAGAGTTTCTATGTCCATTCTTTTTATACTTCTTTTGAATTGGTTTATTGTTGGAACCTCCTTGATGGCTCTCTTTAATTTGCTCCACAGATATGGGACAAAATATCTTACTGGATGTTTTCCTTCTTTTACCGTACGAAATTTCGGAATTAGGCGTTAAGGGCACTTCTATGAAAAGGGCACTTTAGCCTCCCTTGACCCTCCTGTCAAAAGGCAACAGGGGCGGTTGAACCCCTGCGTGCCCCTCTCCAGCGTCCCTGCAAGCAGAAGGGATAAGACAGGCGAATTATCTAATTACAAAAAGATCAGAAACAATTAATGTTTGATTACTACATTAATGTGCATTTGACGAACTTTTCTCATTGGTTCAAACCGAAAAATGGAACAATAGTCCTATTCATAAGATGATCCAGAAATAGTGCGAAATATGTTACTTGTATGTTTTTGAAACTACTTAAATTCTAGGAAGAATTCGTGCCAGTTTTCAAAACCAATCGAAAGATTAATAACTTTAACTTTTCTGAATCAATAAAGTAAATTAAAGATTTCAGCTATGCAAATACATATATTTTGACCAGTCAACAATGATTGATTAAAACTAGCTTCAAATAACGATGTATGCCTTGAAAAGACTATCAGTTTCAACTTGACACAATCCATGTACTCTTATGACAGCTAAGCATATCATTCTGTGCCATGCTTTCATTAACTATGTCTCTTCTCAAAGCTATCCAATTTTCTGGAAATCACATTCTATTTGCCTAGCTGCCATCGTTCATTACAGCAACAGATATCAAATTGTCCTTATTATCGCAGTAAATTTTCTATTTAAGGGACTCGACCTTCCATCAAGGACTTCATTCATCTTGTGGATTCATAAGAAGTGTTCAGAGAGCATTTTACGAATTACGTAAGGAACAGCTCAGTTATTTTGTGTTGAGTACTTTTTTCATTTTATCTGTATTTTTCTGTTCAAAGCATTTTTGCTCGATAATCTCTTCTTTTGCTAAGAAATCATGTAGTTCAATCGATAATCTCTTCTTTTGCTAAGAAATCATGTAGTGTTTGTACAAAGAAATCTTATTTTTGAACTACATTTCAATTACTTACATTTTCCTTCCGCAAACATGTATAGCACTAGTCCCATTTGCATTGCAGATAACAAAATGAAGACAGTATTTGTTTTGTGCTTTGTTGCAATGGTAACGGTGAGTATACCTATCAAAAATTGGCCTAAAACGTCTTTTAAGGTCGAATAGCTTTAAAAAGGGCTAATAGCAACATACACAATCTAGAAATTTCCTTTTTGCTATTGACAAAGTTACCTAAGCTAGGCATGTCTTAACTAAGCTTCAGACAACTGCATCGTAAATTATACCTAATTAAGATTACTGTTACTGTTCCGTTATTAGGAGCTCGGCAGGGTGTAGGACAAAACGTTTCTAAGTTGCAACTCCGAGTTTCACTTTTAATACAATCATCAGGCAATTGTTTCGGTTGTCAGGAAAGAAGTTTTTTAACCTTTTTTTCTTTATAAATAGAATTGTGTTATGTTATAATAAGAAAGGTACTTTTTATTCTTTAACTAAGGCTGAAGACTTCAGCATCAAACTTGAAGAAAATGGACAAAAGTTCACGGAGAAGATCAAACTCGATACCGTTGCAAATACGGAGGAGTATGATGTTCCAGCGCACCAGGACAGAGTTGAAATGCATCTCCTGAAGGACTTCAATAAGGTAATAATTGCTTATAGACTTGCTTGTAACAAAGAATAAAATTGAATCATGCAAAGAGTTATGGAATATATGAACTTTTTGATATTAGATATTGATTAAGGGATTGACGCCAACATATTCTGCTTGCAGAGGCTGGTTGCGATGAAAGTTCCGGTTTCCAAAGTATGCTATGTCGAAGCATTAGAGAGCGACGTCCAGGCTCCAAAGGATCTGAAAAAAAGCATGGAATTGGTAAAGCCTTTTAATAATTCTGTATAAATTATCATTTTTGATTATACGAGTTGAGACGTAATTAGTAAAATTGATGGGATTTGGATACCCATGTGCTATGAAAATATAAAGTATTTTTAATAGGAACAAACATCTGGAGGTATGAAGACAATCTCGAATGCACTTTGTGTTATATAGTATTATGTTGTAAGAAACTGGTGAGTTAATGGCCTAATGAATGGCTTCCCTCTACGCAAGGTGTTTTTGCCATGTGCCGATTTGGTATTCTTTTTTTTCTAAGACAACAAAGTTTTCCTCCTTTTAAGTAGCAAGTAAGACTTGACCTTACAGCTAAAGTCCATTAGACCACTTCAGAAGGCTTTAACATGTCACTATTATGGAGAAGCATAGCAGTTTTAGGGAAGCATAGCATTTACAACGAAGACAAGCTTCAAAAATGGCTCTTTAGAACTAAGAACAGGTTCCTTCCAATGTTAAGAAAGATCAAACAGACACTTCGATGTAATTCTGACAGGGCAGAATTCTCTCATGAACGAATTTTCCCTGCCTCTGATGTGGCTTGTTGTAGAAATCACAAGTTAGTTTCGTTGTTCCTCATTTATTTTGAGTTTTATTAATATTTCACGAACAAAGATATTAAAAGAGGCTTTTCTCTTTCGACGGATAAAAATATCATCATTTCTACCCAATACATATTCTTCTACAAAATTCATGTATGAGATTTAGCTTCTTTTTTGAGATCAATGCTTGATTCTTTAAACAAATTGAAAATTCTGGGTATATTTACAGTCTAACTCAAGGTTCCCAAGTGAAAGGTACATGGTCCATCAAAAACAACACCTGGTCATAAGAAAGATGACAGAAGAGGAAGTTGGAGAAAAGATCGCTGCTCATTGCGCAGGATATGAAATCGTCTTCACTGTAACCCCAAAAGACAACAATATTGAAAAATTGGCTCTGGAACTTGCCAAACCATTGCAAAGTGAGTATAATTCATCACAGGGGCTTGATGTTATACACATACGGAGAGGTGAAGCCAATATAATTGATGACTAACCTACAGAAAAATAACCCGTAAATATGTGGAAATTGAATTGAATAAATCACGCCTACCAACTTAAGATTTAAGGACTGGTTATTATTTAAATGAGCCTTCTTTTTTATATCCTTGAAATACAATAAAGTCTCGATAACTCGAACCTCCGAGGAAACGTTGAAGTGGTTCGAGTTAACGAATGATCGAGCTACCATGGGTTTGAGTTATCGGGATTCTACTGTATTCATCATCATAACAAATTAGACCCCAAAATTTAAGACCGATCCCTTGTTTATGAAGTGCTCATCTAAGCAGTTTGTTAGAAGAAATGATACTGAAATATTTAAGGGTCTAGATTGTTGATTCGTTCCAGGTTATGGATTAAGCGCCCAGGGGTTGCACTTGCTGGAAAAAATATAAGGTTGACAAGAAATCAAAAGGCGCAATCAGAATTTTTTGGATGCCAAGCCTTCTTAATTGACGAATGTGCCTTTTTGAATGATCATGTAAAAAAGAGAATGAAACAGTTGTTTTCATCTTCCATAAAAATAGCATTTAATGTAAAACATGCATGAAAAACAAGCCCAGGAGATCAGAAGGCCATTTCACAAAAAGTGCATTACCTGAGGTATTGTAGGGTTGAAAAATCAAAAAATTGGAAACTTTTCAGGCTGAAATTCAGAACCAAGGACCACCTTAATGCATATAGAGCTCTTTACGTATACTCTTAATTGTGGAAGTTTTGGCCAGGAAGCGTTTGTGACTTATTTACGACACCATTAAGAGCCTGTTTATAAAAGCAAATTTGTCCCACCTCCATAATCTGGAAAGTGGGATGGAATCATCGAATGTTTACATACAGATTCTATCCCACCTTCCAGCTGTATATGGAGAACATCGTCCCATCTTCCAGCCTGTGTGCTGACAAGGTAGACGAATTTTGATCGAGTTAATATGAAAATTTAATCCCACCTTCCAGCTTCATCTCACCTTCCAGTGTTAAAATAACTCATCCAACCTTAGTGTGGGATCTTACTCAACCGAGCTGGCTTGTTTTCCATATCAACGCAAGACGAAGAACAGAAAGGATTCTATAGAAGAGTGGGATCTCATCTCTCAGATCACAGGCTGGAAGGTGGAATAATTGTCTCGATATAAAAAGGCCCTAATCTCTTCTATGTCTTCTATCTGATGTTCTTTTCGGAAATGAACAATTTCTTCCTTTCTTTATTACGAAATTAGAAGTCAGAGATAAACAGAGCTTCCTATTTTACAAGAGTAAGATGTGCGAAGCTGTGCAACGTTTCCCTGTAATTGCAACCCCAGACCCTTGCCTATCATTTTGATTTGATTGAGATTGAACTATCATTTTTCAAAATTCTATTACCTTATTTTCTGAAGTTTGTTTATCTTCTACATCTTCATAACAAAACAATATTTTGCAGGACAAAGAAAAAGAGATACGTTCACTTCATTCTGGGCTTGTGATATCAAAAGTTCATACGTACCAAGAGCTTGTAAGTTATCAGGAGGAAGACTTGCTGCCAGGTGCCATTTCTGGAGAGATGATAGAAGAACCTGTGTATACGAAATCACATGCAGAACAGTCTATGTAAATGGCCAGATGGCCGCAACTTGTGATGGCGATCATAAATACAGCTTGATGAGCTGCTGTGATTATATCTGCCTTTAGACAATCCCTGCTAGTGTTGTAAAGCACAAAGTTTACCAAACTTTTTGGTTGCAATATTATCTGTTTTAAGCTTGATGTTATTCTTAGTTATATATTGATAATGATATTCATGATGAAAATTTATTGGTGTTTTATTTCAAATCTACACGGCTGCAATGATTTGGACTTTATAGCAAAAATGATATGGCCCTAGATCCCCAGGGCAATCAATAAGGCAGGTTGGATATCAATCTCCTTTGTTTCAAACAAGTCGGTCCCAGGCCAAACTATTATTGTAAAAAGTTGGTTCATCCTATGGCTCTCGGACCGGGTAAAAGCATTATAGACAAGATAGAATGTTGCTCAATATAGAAGCTTGAAAAAAACTGCGAAAGAAGACCCATACTGTAAAGAGTCATTCCTAGCCAGTTTGTAGAGCCTCCATTTCATACGTTTGGCAAGTTAATGAAAAACGTAGAAATCTGTTTTGGAGTTAGAAGACCAGGAAACTGATGCGCCTGTTATGTCTTCTTGCTGGAGAGATGTAACCGACTTCATATAAGCAAACAAATTTTATTTTTGAAATATACCTTCACATTTAGCATTAGACAAATATATATACAGTACAAAATATTTATAAACATACACATTTTGATGACCAAAAAATACCAAATTATGAGACAAAAGAAACCTCGAGTTAATTGTTAGAAAGATGTGGTCATTTATTACAAAGAATCTTTTGGCAGTACAAAATGTAAATATGGCTTCGAAAAAAGCAAAATTTTTCAGTCTTCTGAAGCTTTTTCTCTAAAACCCTTCAGAGTATAAAACGTCAGAACATAGAACAAAGTACCTACGCCATTGTTAGGGAGATGAGATCTCACTTCTATTGTTCAAGACCAAAGGCTTAATGATTTGCTCTAGCCAATCAGCATCGAAGGGCAAGGACGCATGCGTATTCTAATGAGTTATCGAGTTATCTCTGCAAAATCCCCGGCCTACCTCTGCACCCAAAGCCAGGGAACACAACGAGATCTCGTAAACATTTTGAGAACAGTTATTTTAGCAACTTGAATAAATTTCATCAATTTCTGAAGAGTTTTACGCATATATTTTAAGGACGTTTTTTCGTTTATTTTTCATTTAGGGGTTTCCTTGGAGCTTATTTGTAGATGTAGTCAAACGGGAAGATCAAAATTCGAAGCTTTCTGCCTTAAAAATTTGAACAATTAAATTGAAGGTAGGTTTTCTGTTTTTCTAGTCGCTTAAGTTGTATTGGTCTGGCTCTAGTGTCGGAGGTCAGTTCAAATCAGGCTGTGTTGTTTACATCGAATATCCAATCTACGTGAACACTAGGCCGCGTCATAAAATGCTCGACACTGCTATTGATCACTTGGAAGTTGAAAAAGATATTCTTTGCGCCATGTTTAAGGAACAAAAACCGTTTGTTGCCAAGAAGTGGTCAATCGTATCAAGAAAATTGATCAAGCACAAAAATTGCTTATACCAAACATTGTAACTATTTTTAAATTACTTTTGGTAAATCCATCAATCACCGCAACCGCTGAGCGCTCGTTTTCGCTTGCACAAAGGATTACGACATGATTGCGTTCCAAAATGTTGGCAGCTCGATTCAACTCAATAGCCATCTTGCATGCTCGCAAGAAACTAACAGATTTATTGAGGCTAAGTGATGTAGCAGACGAATTTGTCAGCAAAAAAGAATGCAGGAAATAAATTTTTGGTCGATATTAATTATCATTAATTATACTGATTTTAAGAATTTTTCATTTACATGTATATTTCGTAACACGTAACTTCTTGAGGTTTAACATTTTATATCAAAGAATTAATTATTGGACATTTTTACTGGACTAGACTTTAGCACGCCTCCTCCCTTTTCCGGTTTTTCCCAATAAACAATTATCAGTCTTTTCTCAGAAGCGTCAAATGGTCTATCCTGATTGGTAAAGTATTTTGTTAAATTTTAGTCTTGGAGATGCATTTTCAGCCATTTTAGAAGGTACAAATGCAAAAATTTTCTTGCTCGTCGGATCCAACCAAGGTCGGTCCCTTACCTCAATAAGATATTTTCTAGCCCCCACTCCAGGCTCACTTTCGTGGCGCCGTCTCTGGTTTCCCAATTAAATTAGCTGTGAAATGACCATGAAGCAGCTGGCTTTAGTGCCTCAATATTTTTGTCTTAGGGGTTGAAGATAAGATGATTTTATATCCGGTGCAATGAGCAGCGATCTCTACTCAAATTTCTTCTTCTATTATCTTTCTTATAACCAGCTGTTGTCTTTAATGAACTATGTATGTACATTTCATTTGGGAACCTTAAGTTAGACGGTGAATATACCCCAAATTTACGTTGTTTCAAAGAACAAGACATCTCATGCATAGTCATACAGAGCTTAAGAGAGAAGCAAAATCTCGCACATAGTTATTTATAAGAATATCAATTTGTTCACAGTTATCAAACCAGCAGATGAGATAAGACAGGCGAGTTACCTAATTACAAAAAGATCAGAAACAACTAATGTTTGATTACTACATTAATGTGTATTTGACGAACTTTTCCCATTGGTTCAAACAAATAAATAGAAAAAAAGTCCTATAGGGGAATCTAGCTTGACTTGTCGCATAAACAATAAAATGTGCGAAATATGTTACTTGTATGTTTTTGAAATTACTTAAAGTCTAGGAAGAATTCGTGCCAGTTTTCAGAACCAATTGAAGGATTGACAACTTTCACTTTTCTGAATAAATAAAGTAAATTAAAGATTTCAGCTATGCAAATACATATATTTTGATCAATCAACAATAGTTAATTGAAACTAGCTTCAAATAATGATGTGTGAAACTAGCTATTAGTTTCAACTTGACACAATCCACGTACTCTTATGACAGCTAAGTACATCCGTCTGTGCCATGCTTTCATTAAGTATGTCTCTTTTCAAAGCTATCCAATTTTCTGGAAAGCTCATTCTATTTGCTTAGCTGCCATCGTTCATTACAGCAACAGATATTAAATTGTCCTTATTATCACAGTAAATTTTCTATTTAAGGGACTCGACCTTTCATCAAGGACTCCATTCGTCTTGTGGATTCATAAGAAGTGTTCAGAGAGCATTGTGTATTTTACGAATTACGTAAGGAACAGCTCAGTTATTTTGTGTTGAGTATTTTTTTCATTTTATCTGTATATGTCTGTTCAAAGCATTTTTGCTCGGTTATCTCTTCTTTTGATAAGAAATCCTGTAGTGTTTGTACAAAGAAATCTTATTTTTGAACTACGTTTCAAATACTTACATTCTCCTTCCCCAAACATGTTTAGCACTAGTCCCATTTGCATTGCAGATAACAAAATGAAGGCAGCATTTCTTTTGTGCTTTGTTGCAATGGTTATGGTGAGTATACCTTACGAATTTTAAAAATCGGCCTATAACGTCTTTCAAGGTCAAATAGCTTTAAAAGGGGCTAATAGCAACAAAAACAATCTAGAAATCTCCTTTTTGCTATTGACTAAGTTACCTAAGCTAGGCATGTCTTAACTAAGCTTCAGATAACTGCATCTTAAATTATACCTAATTAAGATTACTGTTACTGTTCCGTTATTAGGAGCTCGACAGGGTATGGGACAAAACCTTTCTTAGTTGCAACTCCGAGTTTCAGTTTAATATTATCATGAGGCAATTGTTCCTGTTGTCAGGAAAGAGGTTGTTTAACCTTTTTTTCTTTATGGATAGAATTGTGTTATGTTATAATAAGAAAGGTACTTTTTATTCTTTAACTAAGGCTGAAGACTTCAGCATCAAACTTGAAGAAAATGGACAAAAGTTCACGGAGAAGATCAAACTCGATACCGTTGCAAATACGGAGGAGTATGATGTTCCAGCGCACCAGGACAGAGTTGAAATGCATCTCCTGAAAGACTTCAATAAGGTAATATTTGCTTATAGACTTGCTCGTAACAAAGAATTGAAATGAACCATGCAAAGAGTTATGGAATATATGAACTTTTTTTATATTAGATATTGATTAAGGGATTGACGCCAACATATTCTGCTTGCAGAGGCTGGTTGCGATGAAAGTTCCGGTTTCCAAAGTATGCTATGTCGAAGCATTAGAGAGCGACGTCCAGGCTCCAAAGGATCTGAAAAAAAGCATGGAATTGGTAAAGCCTTTTAATAATTCTGTATAAATTATCATTTTTGATTATACGAGTTGAGACGTAATTTGTAAAATTGATGGGATTGGGATACCCATGTGCTATGAAAATATTAAATATTTTTAATAGGAACAAACATCTGGAGGTATGAAGACAATCTCGAATGCACTTTGTGTTATATAGTATTATGTTGTAAGAAACTGGTGAGTTAATGGCCTAATGAATGGCTTACCTCTACGCAAGGTGTTTTTGCCATGTGCCGATTTGGTATTCTTTTTTTTCTAAGACAACAAAGTGTTCCTCCTTTTAAGTAGCAAGTAAGACTTGACCTTACAGCTAAAGTCCATTAGACCACTTCAGAAGGCTTTAACATGTCACTATTATGGAGAAGCATAGCAGCTTTAGGGAAGCATAGCATTTACAACGAAGACAAGCTTCAAAAATGGCTCTTTAGAACTAAGAACAGGTTCCTTCCAATGTTAAGAAAGATAAAACAGACACTTCGATGTAATTCTGACAGGGCAGAATTCTCTCATGAACGAATTTTTCCTGCCTCTGATGTGGCTTGCTGTAGAAATCATAAGTTAGTTTCGTTTTTCCTCATTTATTTTGAGTTTTATTAATATTCCACGAGCAAAGATATTAAAAGGAGCTTTCTCTTTCGACAGATAAAAATATCATCATTTCTACCCAATACAAATTCTTCTACAAAATTCATGTATGAGATTTAGCTTCTTTTTTGAGATCAATGCTTGATTCTTTAAACAAATTGAAAATTCTGGGTATATTCACAGTCTAACTCAAGGTTCCCAAGTGAAAGGTACATGGTCCATCAAAAACAACACCTGGTCATAAGAAAGATGACAGAAGAGGAAGTTGGAGAAAAGATCGCTGCTCATTGCGCAGGATATGAAATCGTCTTCACTGTAACCCCAAAAGACAACAATATTGAAAAATTGGCTCTGG